TCATGAAGAAATGCCTAAAGAAAATTTAAATTTTCAAATGGAATAATATAATCTTGAGAAAAATATATTTTCTTGTTAAACCCAGTTTTATTATAAGATTTTATTCAAGAAGGATTTTCTAAAGATTTCAGTAGCTGTCTGACGATAGTAATTAGAATACTTAATTAATCAGTTTAAGTTTAGGTAATAGTTTCTCGTAAGCTTCAGCGAGGTGGCACTACATAGGATGGTTGGCGATAGAAATACAATTAGAATACTTGACTCTTTCCTTTCCTTAGTTCATATTATCCACTCTTGAGCTATCTCCTTTGTATCAGACATAATTTCTTATAACTCTGAAGTTCCCTATCTGTCCATTCTTACTCTCTCCTACTAGATTGCAATTCGAGGACGAATTGTCTTAAGGGGGGGAGATTGTAATACCCCGAATTTTTATTTTTTTATTTTCGAAACTTTGAATTTTTTTTAAATCAAAAATCTCGTTTTCAACTATAATGGGCTATATATATACCAAAACAATCTCAAATTCCAGCCCAAGTTTGGGGGCGGCTTAAGCCCAAATATATCACCGGATTTGTCGATTTGAGAACAGTTTAAAAGTTCGAGAATAATATGAAATGCCAGCAACTTTAGTCTATTGATGAATATATATAAATTAATTTTCTACAATCAAATATCAGTACTAGTATTATTATTTTATTATTATTTTTATTTTATTATTTTGAATAAATGGAGGAAATATTTTCTAACCTAAACTAAATAATTACAATAAATTGGATTGAACGAATTGAACCCGGGAATCAAATCGATTTTTGGAAACCACACGAATAGCTTGAAAACCAAGTGAAAAACCTGCAAACCGAGCAAGAATCGAGCCAAATCGTTGAACCAGACCAAACCGGTTCGAATCGAACCGGAATGGTCTAGAAACCGACATTCTTTCTTTCTTTTCTTTTCTTCTTCTTTTCTTCTTCTTCTCTCCAGATCGCGCGACCTCCTCCTTCCTCCTTCCCCGTCCCAGCCATTGGAGCCGGCCAAGCTCGCCTCGCCGTCGCGTCACCACTGCAGATGCTCAAGCCTCCTCCTCCTCTCCGGCGAGCACAGCGATGGCAGAAGTCGCAGCTCTGCTCCACTGCCAGATCACGTCTCCTGCTCGATTTAAGTCGCAGATCTGCTCCACCTCCAGATCGCGTCTCCTGCTCAATTTAAGGTGAGTTTGGAATCCAAAGAATATAATTTGTGCAGCAAACATAGCTTTAACTCATTTCAGTAGGTGATAGATGGCCATTGGAATAAGTTTATACTTGATTGCGAAAATTTGACAGTTGATAAAATTTGCGATTTTAGCGATTAACTGCCATGTTTTGTAGATATTGATCTCAAAATTGAACTTTATAGGAAGTATTCTTCATTTTCGATAAATTATTGTTTGATCTCAGGCCTGCTAGCCGTTCGGCCACCATGGCCAGCGGCGACGTTGGAGGTTTCCGGTGACCGGGAAGTGCAAAATAGGCAGAATCTTGCACTCAACCCTTAGAATACGACTATACTATTAGATTTGCAATCTGACATTGTTTGACTCAAATTTATAATTAGGCCTAGAAAGTATAAGACTGTAGAAAATTAGTTAATCAAGGATATTAGCTAAATAATTACACGAATTATACCTAAGAATGAATTAGTTATACAAAAGAGAACGAATTAGTTATACAAAAGAAATGTTTAAGATAGGAATCTATCTCCTTGTGGATCTTTTAGTTATTAAGCTTCAATATATTAGTTAATAGTAATCTTTAAGTAATCGAAGTTGAAGTAAGACATAATTTTATTAGAAAATGGCTTAAGTCAATTTGATTTGGGTCTGAATTTGATTGTGATTTTTGATTGTGATTATTTGTCTTGTTTGAATTTTATAGCTTTATATGGATTTTAATGTTTTCTAAACATGGAAATTGACATGAATTGGGATAAGAGGAGTTTTAATTTTATGCTGAAATAGGCCTAGTTAAAATTATTGTGATTCTTGTTAGAGAACCTTGATAGGTAAATATATTTAATTTTGAACTTATTAATGCGAAACATTCAGAATGATTGTTATGAATCCAAAAGCAAAAGATAAATGGAAATATTCGAAATAGTAGGTTTAATTCTTGCTAGGAATAGTTAATCGGTATATTTTTAGTAAGTTAAATCTCTAGTAGATTTATTCTTTAGATTTTAATTTAATAGAAGCATTCGTTTTTATTGGTTAATATAAATTTAACAAAAGTATAAATATGTGGTTATTATCTTTAAGCAAGAATGAAGAAATGAAATCTTGATAAAGAGTACTATAATAGTTAGACACTACGAAACTATAAAATGAAAGTAATTGAAATTAACTTAATGATATAAGTTTTATTCGACTATATATGTATTAAAGCTTTCACTTGTTTGGTAATTAGCTATAGAAGCTAGTTATAATTATATGAAGTAAATAATGATCATCATTATCATTGGAACATTATTGTTGTAAATTAATGGTTGAGTGTTGATATTGTTGTTTTTGGAAGGAGGATGAGATTTTAAATTGAATGATTGCCCGACGGATGGGCTGTGTGCATTGATTGATAAGGATATAATAATATTGTGATATGTGAGCAGGTAGATAGTCCAATTTTTAGGGGAGGTGCTGTCGAAATTTTGATTGAAATTAGACTAAATTTTAATTAACAACAAAATTAATAAGTTTATTTAGATTAGTTCTATAATTTGGTACATAATAAATATAGTGCTCTGATTATTTATTATCTTTATTATTCATTTATCTTTATTATTCATTTAATTATTTAAGTATTTAATTATTTTCATTGTTATTGTTTATTGTTATCACTTATTTTATTGTTGTTGTTTATTGTTACTGGTATTTATTTAATTATTTAATTGCATTTGAGAATGGATGTCTAATTGTGCATTGCATTACGATGTTCAACTGATCAATATGTCTGCATTTGAGATTACTTGTGCTGTGCTATACGTTGCCTTGTTTGTGTGGAATTGGGATGAAGTGGACCACCAGGGGTTTGTGAGGACGGTCTGTGATATGGATCCGGTTATGATATAATACTTGACCGTTGGCCGGGAAAATGGGAAATCGGCGCCCCCTTGTGCACCTGATGATTTAGATTATATGGAGATTCACAGGATGGCTTCTTGTTGTTGCGCACCTGACAATCTAGATTTGATTGTAGCTCGCAGGGTGGCCTCCTGTTGTGAGCACTTGACGATCTAGATTGGATGGAGACCACCGAGTTGCCTCCTGTTGATATGGAAAAGGAAAAGAAACGAGAGACTGGAAAAACAATGAGAGGACTGGTCAGTGAGCATTAGACCAGTTGGCCGTATGGGGGATCGGCTCCCTAGTGCACATGTACGAGAGGGCGAGCCATGTGTGAGGACGGCTCGTTTGGGTTTCAAGTGGTGCCACTGACTAATTACCACTTGCTTGATTACTTGAAAGTGACATTACGTGTGAGTGCTGGTATGTGTAATTTGTGTGACTGGCTGCGTGAGCATATAACTAGTCGGATGACTAGATTGAAATGTTTACATATTTGTGTGACTGCGTGTGTTGTGCAATAATTATGTGTTGTGTAATAAGTGTTAATCTTCTTAAGAAGGCTCACATATCTTGTTTAAATTTTTTCAGGAAGTAAGCTTCTTTTAAATTGGTTAAAGTGTGTTCCTTTGCCGCAAGGGCTAGAAGAAATTTTTTTTTTCCAAGTTTCATAAATTATCTTTACTATGTAATGTATAATGCTATAAAAAGCTATGTATACCAAGTAGTCAGTGACTCCGCCAGTTGTTAGAAATTTCTGTACAATTAGTCGTGTATTAAATATAGACCTATATAATTATTTGTGAGTCCCATATAAAAAAAAAAAAAAAAAAAAAAATGTGATGTATTGTTAATTGGGCCCGAACTATGGAATGTTGTAGGCCGATAATTTGGCCGAGATTTAATAGAAGCCTTGAGGTTTAAATTTTCCTATAAGTAAGGCCTGAATGTTTAAAAAATTATACTAAAATAGTTAATTTTTAGTGTTTCAGGCTTACTAACGGGCCTCGGGGGCCTTAAGCTTACCTGGGCCCTAGTGCCGGTCCGGCCAATGGTATCGGGTCGTGACAACTTTTATTCTTAAAATGTCATTGTACTATAATAATGTTACATAGTTTATAGAAAGATGAAGAACTTTTGGCCAAATATAAATTTTAAGTGGTTTAAATGTATGAAATTTATTTTGAATAGAATTTTAATTTAGTTATAATCAAATCCATAAAAATTGAATTCGTCGAATTAGGGGGCCTTAAGCTTACCTGGGCCCTAGTGCCGGTCCGGCCCATGGTATCGGGTCGTGACACTTTTATTCTTAAAATGTCATTGTATATAATAATGTTACAAGTTTAAGAAGATGAAGAATTTTGCCATAAAATTTTAAGTGGTTTAAATGTATGAAATTTATTTTGATAGAATTTAATTTAGTTATATTCAAATCCATAAAATTGAATTCGTCGAATTTAATTCTTATTTTTTTGTACAAAGTAAAAAATTTAAATTTATAAATGAATTGCATAAAAGTTTGTAGATTTCATTTATTTCAAGGAAGGCTTTGGTCCAACATTTCAGTGGCTAAACCATCTGTCAGGACTTTGGCACTATTACTGCAAAAGTAAAGAATTTCATTTACGGAGGAAAGGTCCTAACCTAACCACTAAATGAAAAGGAGCAAATAACAGCAATACATAGGCTTAATCTGTTGTTTTGCTTCAAATATTTCGAGCAGGTATATTTTCAGTTTAAGTAGCAAATTATGTCATCAATACAAATATCATTATCCAGGATTTTTGTTCAACGTTGATTTGTTAATGCTTTAGTGATTAGTACAAATATGCATATGCGTGAAAAAAAATCATCACTTCTACCAATCATAATTTACATGACCATCAATCAGACAAGTACAGAGGGCCATCATCAAAACTAATTGATTTGTAGGGGTGAAAAAACAGCAGCATTAATGGAATATCTCTTAAAATAGATAACAGCTGTGAACAGTTTGAATCTAAGCGTATGCAAAATCTCTTAAAATTTTTCTTTTTTTTTTTCTTCTGAAAATATGAGCACAGTATCTAAATTCACATGTCCATGTACCCGGTAATTTGCTGGGCTTTACATTCACAATCAAGGCTGTTTAATCTTTGCAAGGCCGAAGGGCAACAGCCACAAGACCCAAGATACACCACCCTAAAAGAAGAGATACATTAGCATTGGAAGGTGAATTTTGTTCGCCGTTGCAAAAGTAAAGAAAAAACAAACGTTTCACCTATGACATTCCGAAAAACCGAAGATACTGAAGGGAAGGACGAAGTCCCTTTAGGTGCAATTGTTGTAGCATAAAATGATAAACCCTCGGTATCTTTAGACATAGCCATCATTTTAGGAATTTCATTCGTAGGAAAGGTTTGGAGGCCCAAGAAAAGTAATAACACAGGGGTTTGATCTCTCTTGTATGCTTTGAGAGCTGCTACTCCATCTGCTAAATTTGAAATATAAACAACAATGTACCTGTCCGATGCAATTGATTGACCTACAAAACAATAGGCAGTATTAACATACCAAAATGTAAGCAAAAATATTCCCACAAAATCAGAAGATATACCGATATAAAAAATGGCTTTAAACATTCATCTTGTACTTGGAATCCAAGAATTGACTTGGGCATTTCATCAAGCACACATGGGACGCAAGGCCTAGAAAATAGTTCACCGTAAAGGCAAGAAAAGCTTAGGCTACTTAGGCCGTGATTTAAAAAATTAGAATTTCAACCGCAAGAATGGGCCACGAAAGCTAAACAAGCCAATCTCAGTATGCTGTTAACTAGGGGTACATAATAACTTCAGGAGATAAAATTGACTACTAAAATCCAGTTTAAGCGTGCAAAAGCGTAATAGCAGAAACTAAGGAAAACACTGGAAGGGAGAGACATATAACTCTTTTTTGCGATTTGAAATGCCAAACGCATGAACAGCAAATCTTAGCAGACGCATACTAGTTTAAGAACTGACATACAGCTTGCAAAAATACACATGTGTATACTCGAATTCATGAGATTTCATGAAATATAAACCTGCAAAAGTAAAATCAAAGTTTTGCTCATACCTCGATACAATAAGTATAGATGCCTCCATCTTTTTGACAACACACTTGTTTTAACAGCGTCTTTTACAGGCAAATATGATACAATCGATGCAAGAATATCATCCGGCAGCTCACCAATATAATCCTTGTTAAGATAATCTACCTACATGATTATAAGACAAGCATTAAATTCTTAACATATAGCAAAGCATTAACCAAATAGTTTAAAAATCAGAAATTATCGGTATCCTATTCCTAAACGGAAAATGGTTTGACGACAACTGCATTGCTATTGAATAATCAGCAATTATTAATTTCGATAGAAGAAGCTAGCAAAAATCAACCACAGAATGAATTTACCAAACTTTAAACTGAAGCATGATCTGACTGAAGAATACGGTACCTTCGCAGAACGTTCTCCATAAGCTGTGATGGATCTGTTGCCTTTTCCAGAGAATGCAAGGAAAGCCTGTACAAAATTGGGCAGCTGAATCCGGAAAGCCATTCTCCTGAGCCAAGATTGCTGCTCCTACTTGTGACCCGTTTAATATGCCCGTGTATGATGTAAATGATTTCAGTACGTATTGCGCCCCACATTTTAATTACGTTCAATTAAGTCCAATTTCTAAATCACCGCCAAATTAGCCGAACATTTTGTTTTGGGTCCAAGTGAGCCCGATGTTTGTTCTGGGACTGCACTCTTTCGGTAGCGCCAAAAAACAGAATAATGTCAATGTAAAAGAAATTTAAAAAGAACAATTGAATAAGTATGATATGTTCCTGAACCAAGTAGCGAAGTAAGAAATATAGATATTGAAGGAAAACCTAACAAGTACAGTCAAAGAAATTGGAAGGACTATTGATTTGGTTTGATACATATCCTCTATAACAGTTACATTTTACATTTAAATTGACGTTTGGACTACTAGATTATTAGAGCAAAGTTAACTGTTTGGCCTCAAAGAAACAATGAACGGTTGCTTGCTTTGGGCTTTGGAAAAGGGCAGTTCAGTGACTTACGCGATACCAGAACGAAGGCAGTGGTATACACTAGCAGCATCAATTTCTAATGAGTAACGAAGACAGCTTTCCGCCTAGGCAACAAGGACAGGAATTTGAAACCTGAACCCCTTAGTGAGTGGCTAGCATCTTATTGCCTTCACATATGGAAATTTATATTATCCCATTCCCATGATCCAAAATCAGGATCTACAACAATGCTCCCCATTTGACATTTCATTTTTAATGTACAGGCAACAAACAAAAATCTAACCACGAACAATCGGGGAAATCTTAAGCAATATTTTAGTTTTCTCCACACAGCATACAACACGAGATAATTACTCCACGATAATTCAAATGCAGAGAAACATTAATTTCCAATACTGGTATCATACAAATGTCAAATTACTTAATAGCAAACTAAATGTAAACATCCCATAAAATTCTAACAAAATCAAATAAAACAGATGGTTTGGGTTTTACACAGTTGTTTATCAAACTCAAATATTCTTTACAGAAAAAGGCCAATGGCAAAATATAGTAACTAACTAATTACCATGAAATCTAACAAACACACATACTAAAATTCAATTAAGCACGTTCCCCGCGAATCCGCCTAGCCAGCTGAATATCCTTGGGCATAATTGTAACCCTCTTAGCATGAATGGCGCAGAGATTGGTGTCCTCAAACAGACCCACCAGATAGGCCTCCGCTGCCTCCTGAAGTGCAAGAACCGCGTGACTCTGGAACCTCAAGTCCGTCTAAAATAATAGCAGATAAAAAGAAAAAAGCATTTAGTAACATTCACCATAGAAATGGAAAACTTCTGTTACAGTTCAACTACAAAAATTGACTTACCTTGAAATCCTGTGCGATTTCACGAACAAGTCGCTGAAAGGGTAACTTGCGTATCAAAAGCTCAGTGCTCTTCTGGTACTTGCGAATTTCACTGCCAATTGATTTAACCAAAGAAAATTGCCTTTAGAGTTCGATATTACGTAAAATAGGCTACAAAGAGGCATTGGAACAAGGAAAATGTTTTACCGGAGAGCCACTGTTCCAGGACGATAACGATGGGGCTTCTTCACACCACCAGTTGTTGGAGCAGATTTCCTAGCCGCCTAAATGAATCAGTTACAATGAATTAGAAGAACTGAAAGAATTTCTCAGTTTAACAGGGTACAAGAAACCTAAAGCCCTCAATTTAGAAGAAGGAAAAAAGATCCGGTAAAATTATAAGACAAATCGAGTCAAATACAAATAACTTTATAAACAAATTCTAGATAAAAGCATCAGCTCCTAACACAACATACCTTTGTGGCAAGCTGCTTCCTGGGAGCCTTCCCACCAGTTGATTTACGAGCCGTTTGCTTCGTACGAGCCATTTCACAACGAAAGACAATTCTTCAAATTCTGCAAACCAGAAATCAAAATGTCTCTATCAGATCTTCACCACTTTGCTCAAGACAATTCCCCAAAATGTTAAGAGATTTCTATTCTTACCCTTTAAAAGGCTTCTGTCACAAACGAGCTTTCAAGTATCGAGATTGAACGAAAAATTGAAATAAGAAGAAGTCTAGGCCTTTATATAGAAAGATAAAGGCATCTAGTTGGTAAACGGTTAGATTGGATTCTAATTAGGAGAAGATGACGTGGATGAGTTGTGTTTCTTTTGTGAGAGGGAAACCGTCTGATTCAGACTTTAGAAACTCGAGAAAGTCTTGATTCTGATTGGTTGCTTTTTAACCCGGAGGATTGCCAGCATCGACGATTTGTGTTTCGTTTGTTAGAAAGAACGCCTGTGATTGGTTAATTTCCGAGTACACAGGATCTCCAGCGTGGATTGCTTGTGCTTCTTGTGTGAGAGTCGCGGCTGTGGAAACGCGTAACAACTCAACTAGTAATACGATTAACCTTTTATTTCAAAAGGATAATTATTTTACAACAAAAAAAAAAAAAACGTGATTATTCGGGATATTTTGTTGTTCGATTCTATTAATAAATAATAATCATCACTCTTATTTAAAAAATTAAACTAAATTGAATCAATGATATTTATATTTATACAGCTTTTAATAATATAAATAATAAATAAATTATTTAGTTTAAATGAATTAATGAAATAGGTAGTTATTATTTATATAAATTTTAAAATAATAACTTCATGACTTTTACTCATGATGTTTTATTTTATCTTTTTTATATATATTTCTATAAGTTCTACCATTTTCAATATTTCTCCCACACTTATATATCTTAAACAGTGCTGATTTTTACAAATAAATCTAATATTTTTGGCATTTGAAATTATATTAATGTAGTAGTTAACATGAATAAGTTGTGATTTAATCTTGCATTTTATGTTTTATATCTTTAACCCATTTTATTTATTATTTCTCGTATTCTAATTATTTACTTATGTTTTCATCAAAGTAATTTTTTAAAAAATGTAAATTAAACACGATTTATAATATTCTAAGTAAAAATATTAAATGTGCATAGCGCATAGTGTGATTGAAAAATAAAAGTAAATTTATTCATTAAATCATTAATTTGTATTTGAAATCAATTGAAACAAATTTCATATTCAAAATCAATTGTAAATAAAAAAATGTATTGGTGGAAAATTAAGCACATAAAACGTTATAATTTAAGTCTTAATTGATGCTAGAAACTTCTATTAAATAAAATGATTTTTAGAATTGTTTATTAAAACAATAAATTAAAATTTTTACAAAATTCACAACGTTATCATCATAAATATTAATGAATTAGCATATCTAATATTCTTTTAAGGCTTATTGTCCTCACCTATTAATTTTAAATACAGGTTATCATATCTAATCCGTGTATTCAAAATTATCGCAATAACAATTGACTGTCCTTTTTTTGTTGGTGAAAAGATTGACAGTCATTTGTTATTATAGTTATTCTCACAATATTTATGAATTAAATATATTTTTTATAATTTAGTTCTATAAAAATTACGTGTCTACTTATAAAAAATGACTTTTTATTTTTGATTTATATTTAAAAAAAAAAACTGTATTCTTAAAAAATAAAAATCAGAAAACAGAAAAGTGGTTGTGTTCACTTAATAACAATAAATAATTTATATTTTAATTTAAAAACTTCACAAATATTATTTATAATTTCATAATTAAAAAAATAAAAATATTATAAATAAATTAAAGGATTTTTATTAAAAAATATTTAAAATTTTATTATTAATTATTTATAATAATGATATCAATTTTTATCATAAATTTTTTAAAGATAAAGAATATAATATATTTGTAATATGAAACTAATTGTATATCAAAGCATAATATAATTTTTTTGTATTATTTAAATATTTTTATTTTTAATGAAAATATTTTATAAAAACTTTTTTTAGATATTATAATTTTAATTTTGAAAATGTGATTTTGTGAAAATGGTTGGAAACAATTTATATGTTTTATTTCCTTTAAAAAGATGCTGGGTAAACTTTATAATAATTTAAAGTTAAGAGGTTCGCTTTGAATTACCTTCAAAGATCGGGGTCATACGTAAAATTAGCCGTTTTAAAAAACCGTATGAACTGCCAAGACTCTCTGTCGTTTGGTAACACTGTTTACGACCTGCCGGTGTTGGCGAGGAAGAACTTTCATTTGACGCAGAGATGGGAGGCAGCAAGAAGAGGGAAGGCTATGGATGGGCAGTATCGGCTGGATTCAACGCTGCTTTTGCTGCTATTGCTGCCAAGTTCTTTTATAATCAGGTAACAATCACCCTTTGATTGTCAATTGGTAGATCAAAATACCCCATTATTTTTTCCCGTAGATTTTAGATTGGCAAGAAAATTTCGGGGAAAAAAAAAAATGACCGCAGCATAATTGATCAGCCAAGATTATCTTTTTCTTCGCAGTTCGTTAGATATAGTCTGGTTGTGTTATTTAACCTGATAATGTGGGGATGCTACGTCAATAGCCTCAAAGCTCTTTCATCGCTACAAGCTACCGTGACGAACTTTGCCACGAATTTCCTCTCCTCTGGTCTAGCTGGATATTTTCTGTTTAAGGAATCATTATCAGCTCAGGTAAGTCGTTTATAAACATAAGCAAGAACACTCAGTGGTATTTTTATCCTTTTATTTATAAATTTCATACCTTAATCCACTGGTGTTGATCTGGGTTGGTTTGGTTATCATCTGATTCGCTGTTAAGCAGCCTTAAATACCACTGGTGTTGATCTGGGTAACATAGTTAGCAATGAATTTCAGTTTTACTGCAGAATTTTGCTTTATTTCTCTGTTTCCTCTTCAACTTTTGGTGATCATCCAATAGCAAAATTATAGTAGTGTTTTTTGATAAGGACTGGAATTAGAATACTCTTATCATTAACCTGCAATCACAGTGGTTTGCAGGTGCCTTACTCATTGTAATTGGCGTTGTAATACTTAGCAAGTCAAGCATAGAACAAAAGCCAAACATCGATTAAAAGCTACTGTGGGGTTTCACAAGACTGCTACTTGAATTTCATTTTGTAGAAGCATTTGATGAGCTTTTTGGTTTACTGGAGGTTAGCTTCAAAAATGGCATCATCTGAATTCTTTTTCTCCTAGCTGTTGCAGAGATTTCCAATGTTCTTTGTCAAGAAAGCTATCAGAGAGCTTAAAGAATTTTGGTGGTTGTTGAGACTTATATAGTGGTTATTCAAGGTTTTGTTATTTTTACCTTATGAGAATCTTCAGTTCATCTTTTGAGGTGAAATTTGAAGTCTCACTCAATTGTTTGCATGTGAATTTCACTCCCGGATTATATGCTTCAGTTTTGGGAATGCTATAATCTTGAACAACCAACTCTTTGCAAAATGGCCAGTGATTTAGAGATATGATCTATGATGCATGGAAACTCCGAGTCCACGGGGATTCATGTTTCGGAAACGTTTTTTCATATAAAATATTATTTTTTATGTAAAAATTATATTTTATATGTCGATTTTCGCATATATATTTCCGTTTCAATTATTAATGCTATTTTTGTTCATAATGTGAATTGTAGCTAGCTGGCACTTGGCCTAATAGCAATGCATATGTTGACAAGTTCATGATTTTTTTTTTTTTTTTTTTTTTTTTTTTTTTTTTCTTTTTTTTTTTTTTGAAAAAAAAGAAATTCTAAAAAATCTACAAAAAGTTAAGTTAAGATATTGGCACCCGCCAATTGATTTTCTGTTTGGTTGTTTCCTTCAGTCCAATTAGAACAAGGAAACCATAAACGGAAAACCGGCTATTTCTGAGTAAATGGTGAGAGATTTTTTTTTTTTTTTTTTTTTTTTTTTTTGAAAAAAAGAAATCTAAAAAAATTACAAAAAGTTAAGTTAAGATATTGGCACCCGCCAATTGATTTTCTGTTTGGTTGTTTCCTTCAGTCCAATAGAACAAGGAACCATAAACGGAAAACCGGCTATTTCTGAGTAAATTGAGAGATCATATACTACTAGTATTGGTGATGGAATCTTGCCAATTGTTGTTCCTCTCACAAATATATAAAAAAAAGGTTTGTAAAATAAAAAGGTTCTGATTGATTCAAATGTTCAAATTTGAACATGAGATAATTATTTCATATAAAAACATTTTTTCAACCTTAAATTACTGACTAATTAAGTTTCTAATTATATAATAATTTATTATACATATGAGAGGTTTTTAAATTTATGAAATTCAAAAAATAAATAAATTTGTTTATTCTAATTTTTCCAAATCAAATAATGCCAAAATTCCAAATAATTCAGCCGATGGGGCGACGCACGTTTCAAGGTGATTGCACTCTGGAAACGGCCCAAAACAAGGCCCATGAACCTTATCAAAACATTGCCTTAGGTGATAATCCCGCCTCAGTAACTTGCGTTTAATTTTTGCCTGAAATAAGGAGAGTATAAAAAGCAGGCAACAGCCCACAGACGGAGATGGATTTTTTTTTTTGGTCATTTAAGTAAAATTTTAAAAAAGAAAAACATTTATTTTTAAGACAAAAAGACAGACAGGTAAAACCCCCTCTTCCTCACCCATTGAAAAAAGTAAACAAAATTTCTTTGCCTCTCTTCTTCTACTGTTCCTTCCCTCAGATTTCCCATCTCCTTCTTCAAATTAGGGTTTTTCTAATCTCTGTTCAACTCTCGGCTCTTTATCTTCAACTGTAAGCTTCGATTAAACTTGCTTGTAAAATTTGCTGTATTTATTATGCTATCCGGTAATCGTGCTCTTTCTACCTACCATAATCCCCAGTAGTTCTCGTATTTTTTTTTTTTTTGTTACTTTGAGTTGATCGTTTCTCAGTTTTTTTAGCGATTCAAGCTTCTTCTCCTGTTTACTCTCTTTAATTTTTGCATTGATGGGTTTTTCTTTGAATGTGTGCAATCAAAACCTTGCTTCGGTGGTCGTGGTGGCTTTAGGTTCCTAGGTCCAGAATTGCTAGTGTTAAACTGATTATTTACAGGCTGCTTGAGAGATGGATTACAATGCTTGATTTTGGTTTTTTTACGAGGATTGGATTCTTTGATTTTTTTTTGTTAATGTTAGAATCAGTTTCACTGTTTGACTAGATGGAAAATTGGATTTTAGTTAATTTTGAAATTAATTGAGTGACTAAATGCTGATTTGTGTTTGGGAACTTAATTTTCAGTAGAGTTGATGTAATTTTCCTGGATGATATTTATTATGCTAGGGATATGACTAGTGTTGGTAATGAATATTTTAAGCATGAATTCACTTGATAAAGGATAATAAATTTTTCATATTTTGAAATTCGATATTTTGCATAATAAGCGTGTGCTAGGTGATATACCAAATTCTGCAAATGTGGGTTACAAATTAGACTATAGGATTACAGGTAATGTAATTGGATTAAGCAATTTTTTTCATATTTTATTCTTGTTTTTGTTCTCATAACTTTACCTGTGCTACAACACAACTTGTCTTTTTTTATGTTACCAACAAATCGTGTTTGAGCATGAAAGCACTTCAGGAAAAAGATATTATAGGTTGTTGTTGATTCTAAGTGGTTAGTTCTGTTGTTCCTGAAAGCCTATGACATGCAAAATCGAAAATCATATTCTGAAGTGGTATCACTTGCACTTCAGTGACGTACAGGATAAAGATTTAATTCTACCAAATCATAATTGGAAATGATACTTAAAAATATTTAGTTTTATATGCATCTTTTCAAACTCTTTTCTTCTTGCATTATGTTTTTTAAACGGCATTTTATATGAATCTTCTGGATATACTACTGACATGTTCTATTCCTTTAGCATTATAAGATTTTATATTTTGTTAAATCTTTGATTTCTCCTCTGATGTGGGATACAATTTTTCCCATATGCAGGAAAATTCACAACAGAATGGGGTCTTACTTCATTCCGAATTCCCATGGTAATGTTATGGCATTTCCAATAATCTGCTGATTACTTCTCATTATTATAGAGGAATTACTTACTCTTGGTTTTACCCTGTGATACTTCATAGAAACAAAATATGAATAAATTTCCCCCTCCTTTGAGATGTGGGATATATACCATAAGTAACAGCCCAATTTTCTATTAACCAAGCATTGTACTTGTGCAAGAGGCTGTAAACTGTCATCTGCAATTCTTCCCACCTTTGAGGCTGCAATGGATGACGGTGGGCATCGTGAAAATGGAAGGCATAAAGCAGATCAATATAAAACGGCTCAGGGCCAGGTATCTTCATTTAACCTTCTGCAAGCAACAAAAAATTGTTTTAACCTAGGGTCTCTGTTTTGTAGTGGGTGTGATAAAGGTTATGGATTTGAACTGTAGTATTCCTTTCTGGTGCATTCTTTTGCTAGAGTATGCAGTATTTTACTATTGTTTCCTTTAAATTATTTGTTCTGATTTGTTGTTTCTCTATCGTCTTTGCAGTGGTTGATGCAAGCTCAGCCTTCAATGAAACAGATCATGGCCATTATGGCTGAAAGAGATGCTGCCATTCATGAGAGGAATATGGCTATTTCAGAAAAGAAGGCAGCTATTGCAGAGCGTGATATGGCATTTATTCAGAGAGATGCAGCAATTGCTGAGCGAAATAATGCCATATTGGATCGAGATAGTGCTATTGCAACTCTTCAATATCGAGAGAATTCCCTGACAGGTGGTAATATGTCCTCTTGTCCACCAGGATGTCAAATCTCACGTGGGGTGAAGCACATGCACCACCCACAGCAGCATGCACAACATCTGCCCCACTCAAGTGAAGTTTCATATGGTACTAGGGAAATGCAAACAAGCGACACTGTCCCGGTATCACCGGTTGGTCCTGAGGCTGCAAAGTCACGGAGAGGTAAAAGGTCAAAAGATGCCAAGGCTATGCCACCCAACAAAAAGACTTCAAAATCTCCAAGGAAGGTTAAGAGGGAGAGCGAAGACTTGACCAAAGTCATGTTTGGCAAATCACATGACTGGAAAAATGGGCAGGATCTGGCTGGTGGAGGTGATGATCTGAACAAACAGCTGGTTGTCTCCAAGTCTGATTGGAAAGGTAATGATTTGGGTTTGAACCAGATTGCATTTGATGACTCAACCATGCCAGCACCAGTATGTTCTTGCACTGGAGTGCATAGGCAGTGCTACAAATGGGGCAATGGTGGATGGCAGTCCTCATGTTGCACAACCACTCTCTCCATGTATCCACTACCTGCAGTGCCAAACAAGCGACATGCCCGTGTAGGTGGAAGAAAAATGAGTGGAAGTGCATTCAGCAAACTGCTTAGTCGGCTTGCTGCTGAAGGTTATGATCTGTCAAATCCAGTTGATCTCAAGGAACATTGGGCCAAGCATGGGACCAATCGCTATATCACAATAAAGTAGAATAAGTTGTGAATTGGGTGGATAGGCAATACAGGAAATGGCATGTAATCTTAAGGTATGTTGTATGTATCCTCAATTTTCATATTTGCTGTGGGAGAAATAATGATTAGATAACAGGCAGAAGTAAAATTATGGGGTAGTCGATACCAGTCATCTTGCTTCGTCTTTCTAGCAAAATGTTATAATTGTCGCGGTTGGAAGTGAATGAAGTTGGGTTAGTCGAGTAGTTCTTCCTTGTAACTCTAGTTAATTGTAAAGGGTCCTTTCTTAAGGTGGTGTTGAACTATTTGTAAGCGTTGTTTAATATAGAATTGGCCATCTTGGCGGCAGAAAATTTTGATCCTTGTCGTTGCTGCTTTTTACAAAAGTTTTTATTTTTAGGTTCTCAGATATGGAACTAATCAGTTAAAAGGATCCTAACAGCTGAAATAAATTAGATGCTTAACTCACGGTTGGCGTGTTAGGTGGAAGCATTGAGAGAGAGAGTACACAAGCATTCCCAATAAATAATGTAATTGGCAACTGAGTGCGACTATTCCATATCTCAAGATCAAATGTTTGAACATTCATTGATTACAAAAGAAAAGCATCCATCAACTATGTACATTGAAGAAAATAAATTAAGGAATTACAGTTCAGCTGGTACATCAAAAGCTCTTGCTCTTACACATCTGAATTAGAAACTTTACACACTGAATAGTTGACACCTCTAACACTTCTTCCATTCCATCTGGGGAATACTATCTCACCAATCATAGTTGAGACCTTCATCATCTCTTCCATGGCATCTCTCACCTGGAAAATACAAACACAATCCATAAAGAGAAACAAAAATTTACATTTTACTTGGCATAGTCACACATTCAGCGACAAAAACTTAAAAATCAAACTGATATTTTATTTACTAAAATCCAAAATCTAACAAGCAAATAAAAGTTATATTTAGTAGAAAACAGGAACAAAATACTCCATGAAGGCATAATAAAGCGATTTTAAAGAGCTAAAATTGAGCCCAATAGTGTGTGTCAGATCACATATTCAGCACTGAATGTATCAGACAGGGATAACTGTATGATAATTTATATTTCTCATCATCCACAACACTTAAAAGAGATCCTATTCAGCTAAAATTATACATGGCCTCCAGAAAACATAATTTTTTCACACAAGATAAAAGAAAAAGTAGAGTAAGAGAAGCCTCAGACCGTCCTAGTTTCATGAAAGTTTCGACATTTCCCAAGTCTCATGACTTGCTTCACGTAATAGAAATAGTCATCAATGGCTTCAATACTAAAAACTAATATTTGTAAATAATGGACAGAACAACAGAAGGCATCAGATCTTCCTATACTAGAGCAAGAATCATAATACCCAAACAAAAAATCTGAGCATTCAACGATTTGGCAAATAGTTCGTCATTTGCCCTCTTCAAATCTATAACAACATAATATAATTAAAACGTCAGAAAAAACAAAAAAAACGAAAGATTTTGTGAAGGAAACGAAAGAAAAATGAAACACCCTATTGTAGAGAAGAAACGGCGATTATTGGCTTCTAGGGTTTAAGCCATAAGATTTCCTGAACTTTGCACTGGATTGGTCTCATTTTATAAGGGCTACCGAGCAAGGGTTTTTAAGGTTTTTGATCTGACGGCTGAGGTTCTAAATGAATGACGGTGATAAATCGTTCCATGTCACGGACAAAAGTGCAACAACATGTGTCTGTCATGCATTTGTGAGTTGTTTAGCATTCCTCATGGAGCCGGGCCATTCCTTCGTTTGGGGCCTATTTGAATAAAATAATAGTAAGAATACAAATGGGCTTCCTAACCGAGTTAATGAAGCCCAAGTTGACTGATACACGCACCGTCCCTGTTGACTGTTGTAAATTTTTATAAAGTATTTTGGCCTCTACAATCAAGATATATGGCGAAGATAGAGGAGACGATCGAGGATTGACAAAAACCGCGTAATCACGTGGTATTTACGTGCCGTAAGACAGGGACTAAAAATCCTCAGCTTATTACAAGAACTTTGTAAACGCCTATGTAATTACCGCCGCATTGCAATTCTTTCATTTCATCCAAAAAGCTTTGTTGGTTTGATTGAATTTTTTTTTTTTTCTTTACACTAACTAGTGATCGTTACGGCATTCTCGAGTTCTTAACACCTGCTTTCATTTCCATCTAAAAAGATTTTTTAGGGTTGAGGTTTTTTCAGTTGGTGTGGCTAAAATGGAGAGCGGTGTTGAAAGTGGTGGTGGTATGCGAATACTTCAATCATCGTTTAGTGCTTTCGGTGTTTCTCAAATGGGTGGTTCTTCAATGCGTCAATCTTCGCCCAATATTGGTTCCGATAATGTTAAGAGAATCGGTGTGCCTCCCTCTCACCCAAATAATCCACAAATAATGGTTTCTCGATCGTCAGGGTCGTCGAGTTCGCAGAATTTGAACCGAGGATCTTCCCACTCGAGGTCCTTGTCTCAATCGGCTGTGTTTTCGATTGATTGTTTGCCGCCATTGAGCCCTATGCCTTCTCAATCATCTAGGTCCAATCAATCTGACCTAGTTTTGACTGATATTCCGATGGAAGATAAGGGAGCTGGGGGTTCTCATGGACTATCGATTCCTCCTCCGGTTACAGGAACTAATGGCCTGCCTCCTCGTAGAGGACATAGAAGGTCAATGAGTGACAGTGTCCCGTTAGCATTTTCTGCAATGATTCAATCTTCGCCTCAGCTGGTACCTATTGGGAGTAGTAGAGGAGCTTTGGATCGCTCTTCTTCTGGAAGGGAAAATTCAGGTATGGAGAAATCGAGTGAGTTGGTGAAACGGGAATCAGATTGGAGTAGAGATGGAAATAGCAATATTGAAGGGAAATCTGAAGGAGAAGTTGTGGATGATTTATTTAGTGCTTACATGAATTTGGATAATATGAATGCATTAAACTCGTCCGGAACTGAGGATAAGGATTTGGATAGCAGAGTCAGTGGCTCAAAGACAAATGGAGCTGAAAGCAGTGACAATGAAGTAGAAAGTAGAGTAAAAGAAGGGCTCAAGAGAAGTGCAAGTGGAGATATTGCAAGGGCTACCCGGCATTATAGAAGTGTATCAATGGATAGTTATATGGAAAGTTTGCAGTTTGATGATGAGTCTCTGAAATTTCCTCCCCTTGGAGCTCAAGGGAGCCAGCAGCCGCCTGGAAATTCGATGGATGGGAAATTGGCGAAGTTCAACTTGGAATTTGGAAATGTTGATTTCACTGAAGCAGAGATGAAAAAGATTATGGCAAATGAAAAACTTACTGAGATAGCAATGGCTGACCCCAGGCGCGCCAAAAGGTATATTGCCTTTTACTTGTAGATACAGATATGTGTGTTATCAATATTTCATTGAGAGTATCTGCTCATATTTGTTTTATTCATTCCAGGATTTTAGCCAATCGTCTGTCAGCTGCTCGTTCCAAGGAGCGGAAAATGCGATATATTTCAGAATTAGAGCAAAAGGTGCAAACTCTGCAGACAGAAGCAACCACCTTGTCTGCTCAGGTTACAGTTTTACAGGTGGGTTACTGAAGTTTATCTTCGTAAATTTCTGTTGATTCTTTCTGTTGCGCGTGTCTTGTGTTTACTGGTTATGCTTATTTATATCCAGCGAGATTCTGCATCTCTAACAAGCCAGAACAATGAATTGAAATTCTGTCTTCAGGCAATGGAACAACAAGCCAAACTTAAAGATGGTATGTTTTCTTTTTGCATTTCCTGCATCTTATATGTTCTTCTACTAATAACCTTGTCTGCTAGTGCTAGGCGGATGGTTTCATAACTTGATGAATATATGTTGGATACTCAGATTTCCATACTTGAGTGTTAAATGCATAGTGTTCCCTTATGTGTCTTGTAATGCTTATCATGTTAGCTTATAGGATTGCCTCCATGACATTTTCTCTTGGTTTATGTGTTCAGCTCACAAGGTATGATTGTCTCGCTTTACTTATATGATTGCTAATTTTAGTTGTATATAAAGGATGATTTTATTGTGCACTTTTTTCCAAAATTTTCTCTATCAAGTAGCAAAAAGAAGATTTGGAGGTAATATATGATTTTAGGATTCACATGGCTTGCCCTATCTTTTGGTGGAGAAAATACTTAAAAGTAGAGAAAACATTACCTTTTTTTTAAGAATGAATGGATATCAATGAAACAATGGTGACCAAAGATACTTAATTTTGTCATAGTTAATGCTAATAGCCTTTTTGATTTTTTTATTCGAGTTGAGTAGGATATTGAATCAAATTTTAGAAGCAGGTGAGAAGAGGAAGTATTTTATTAAGTTTTCTGATATTTGAATGGCTAAAAGAAGAAGAATAGTTGCAATCCTCTCTAAGATGGGCTTGGAATTATACCTATGGCTATCCAGAGTAATGTACATGTTTGGCCAATATAAAAATTTGGCAATCTCTAATGGATTCAATTCTGCATGTTAACCTGGAATTTATTGGAAGCTGTTGTAATTCTCACATGTTGGTTTGATGTGATAACTTTTGGCAAGAAAATAATTCGACTGGATGAAGTGTCATTTACAGTTGTGGATAATCTTTAGTCCTAAGCAATTGAATTGTGCATAAAGATGCTGGGAAAAAAATGTGAAACTGGGAAGACAATTTTAAGAGGATGAGAAGTTGTTTTCTTCTTTTCTGCTCAATTCTTTTTGTTTTATGTTGATTAAAGCTATTGGTACAACCATTACAATTGATTATTTTGTTATGATTCAGTTTATTGTTAGTGTGTCTCTGTAGTAACTACTGAAAGAGCATCAAACATATATTATTTCAATCCTAAAAGAATTTCTTGAAGCCTTGATCCCCATCTCAGCACCTTAGTTCTATCAATTGCACCATTGCTGACTAGTCTACTTTATAATACTTCATATGCTCTATTACAATCCTGTGTATGTAGTTCGCTTTTTGGAGCCTCCAGGTTAATATTTTTCTTGTCTACCTGATATGACAGCTTTAAACGAAGCATTAGTTGCAGAGGTTCAGCGCCTAAGGCTTGCTGCTGCAGAGCTGAGTGGGAATCCCCATCAGCAGCTTCCCATTAATCATCAGATGTTAAAGTTACAGATTCAGCAACCTAGTCAGCAGAAACAAATGCAAGAACAGGCACAGTAACGGCAGCATGACCAATTACAGCCTCGACAGTAGAACGGGAGTCAGCTAATAAAGTGAAGTGATAAGTTAACCAGTTAAGATTGGTTGTTTGCTCATTCCAATTGCACACAGTCTGAACCTAATATGAGATAAGTATAATATAAAGTCATATAGAAAGTCATATAGTCGTCGGTGTATTCTTATGGGATGCTAGGTTTTTTTTTTTTTTTTTTTTTTTTTTTTTTTTTTTTTTTTAACCAGTTAAGGATTGGTTGGTTTGCTCATTCCAATTGCACACAGTCTGAACCTAATATGAGATAAGTATAATATAAAGTCATATAGAAAAGTCCATATAAGTCGTCGTGTATTCTTATGGGATGCTAAGGTTTTTTTTTTTTTGTTTTTTTTTTTTTTTTTTTTTTTTTTTTATGTGGTTTTTTTTTTTTTTTTTTTTTTTTTTTTTTTTTTTTTATGTGGTTTATTCTGTTTTTCACTGGACAAAATGTAGAGATGTAGTTGTTGCTAAGACTCATTTCTTACTGATTCTTTTGTCTATAATTTATACTCAGTCTCGTTCAAAACCGTATGCCCTCTTGTTTGATACTTGCTGTCTGCTTCTTATCACCGAATGACTTTCAACGACCTTAGTTTAAGACATTGGAATGGATGTCATGTTAATGAGTATCACGTCGACCAAACATAGAGAGAAGGAAGATGTTGCGAGGGATGTATTTTAACACAAAACTTACAGACACAGATCATGTAGAGATACGAAAAGATTCCTATTCAGTGTTCCAGACAGAGCTAATGCGCTAATATTAAAAATAAATTTTTTTAAAAAAGAAGAAGATTCAGTGGCAGATGTGAAAGTGATATATTAACAGTTAACACTTCGAGTAGTTGCAGACATATCTTATCATGTGTTCATTTATTTGTTTTTTTTTTTTTTCATAATTTCAAAATCTTGAATTTTATCCACTGATTTATTTTAATTTTAAAATTTTATTAGTGTAATAAAAGACAAAATTGCCAGTCACAGTCAACCACCCAATGGCGTTCATATCTTGGCGCTCATACGTGCCATTTGGCATTTGCTATCCGAGCCAAGACGAACTATTGTTAATGTCTTTTTCTTCTCATAAAAATGAGGGAAACTATAATTATCCACTCAAATTTAAATTTAAATTTTCATAATTTACATGTTAGTATTTTTTTGAGAATTATAGTATATGTTAGTATTATAATTCCATCAGTAAGAACTACTCTATTTATAATTTAAATTAATTATGGAATATTTTATAAATTTGTTTCTCTAATTTATCAGAAACAACTACTTTGTCCTTCTTTAAAAAAAAAAAAAAAATACTATTTTAATGTTTTGAAAATCATCCGTTAGTCAATAAAAAAAATAGATCATAGATAATAAAAATATTTTATTCCTAGATTATCCTGATTATTTATATAATTGGCTATAAACCCTAATTTGTTCGTTTTATTCTCACATTGTTTATATAGTTTATTAAAAATAATTACTTTATTGTTATTTTTTGAAAAATATATATTTTAGTATTTTACAAATAATTTGTTAGTCGATGGATTTCAAAAACAATTGACAAAAGAGTATCTTAATAGTTTTCTTTAAATTTAAAAAAGAAAATATTGATAGAAGAAAAAATTAATTGGATGAAATTAATATATATATATATATAGATAAAATAATATATTCAAAAAACAAAGAAAAAGTAATTATTTTTAATAAATATAGGGATAAGTTTACAAATTATCCATAATTTTTTTGTTCAAATTTTCCCACCTTTGGATATGAGAGAAAAAGGCTAAGCACCATGTCATTGTCATGTGTGAGGTATATCATTGTTATGCTAATTTTATAAATGTAAATGGTCATAAATCAAAATCCTAAACTCTTAATACACACTAGAAATCATAGAGTCAATGAAGAGAAATTGAATCCAAATACAAAAAGCGGAATTAAGAAGAAAAAGTATATATATATATATATAAAGATTCATCTTATAGTAGTAATATATAATTTATATAACATAAAAATAAAAATAATAAAAAGAAAAGTCACCAAACAAAAAGAGCAACAAAATCTAACTCAAGTTCTCTCTCCACATTATATTTCCTTTATTAATAAAAAAGCAAGCTATTCTTGGAAAACCCAAACAATCCCTTTTATCCCTTTTCTCATTCCTCATGTTTCCATTTTGAATTAGGGTTTCACTCTGCTCTTCATCCGCTTTCAAGCTAAAACCCTAATCGCTCCGATCCTTCTCACTAGCCGTTACCTCCGTTTTCCCGCCAATTTAAGCTTCATATCAGCCGTTGACCAGCCCGTATTTCAAATACTAGCCGTTAGATCTGTCCCCCCGGGTACCTTTTTTTTTTTTTTTTTTTCTACTAGCCGTTAAAACGCCTCCGTTTTCCCCGCCAAATTTAAGCTTCAATATCAGCCGTTGGACCAGCCCCCGTAATTTCCAAATACTAGCCGTTAGATCTTGTCCCCCCCCGGGTAACCTTTTTTTTTTTTTTTTTGACTTGGAAGGGACGAGTTGACTGGACATGTCGGCTGTTGAAGTGGAAGAAGAAGGTCGACAGAGGATTAAAAAGGTGAGGAGAACGGAGGAGAGCTCCCCTGTTCCTGCGGGGCCACCTGCTGGGACATTATTGGTCGCAAAAATAAAGGTGCCAGGAAGGCCAAAACTTAATCTCCTCCCACTCGGCCTTTCCGTTCCGCTAGTAAAAAGGCGTCCGGACATTAGCTTCGTTGCTCTCCTTCTGGCTTGTTGGGTAAGTTTTGAACTTCGTCCATTTTAGTTTTAGTTTTACCAAGCAACTGAGTGTAATTTTGAGAATTTCCAGTTTACTCATTGGCTTAGGCAATCGGTTAATATGCGTGATGGTGGGTGTAAGATGGTATTGGGACGTTTTATTGTTGATATATTAATTTGGGACGGTTCATGTAGCATCGGTGGTCCCATTTGGTGTGGGCAATACTTGGATATTGAAGGGCGGTTGCTAATACATGGGGGGGGCGCAATGAGGTATTGACTAAACTCCGTTTGCTTGCTTTCAGCATAATTTATTTTTTCACTTAATTTTTGTTCTGTAATGATTAATTTCTTGGAAGCTTTTAAACTTGTTTTTGCAACAGAAGGGACCAATTGGGCCATGGGGATTCAATTCAGCGGATTTTTTTTTTTTTTTTTTGACTTGAGGACGAGTTGACTGGACATGTCGGCTGTTGAAGTGGAGAAGAAGGTCGACGAGGATAAAAAGGTGGAGGAGAACGGAGGAGAGCTCCTGTTCTGCGGGGCCACCTGCTGGGACATTATTGGTCGCAAAAAAGGTGCCCAGGAAGGCAACTTAATCTCTCCCACTCGGCTCCGTCCGCTAGTAGGCGTCGACATTCGCTTCGTTGCCTCTGGCTGTGGTAAGTTTGACTTCTCCATTAGTTTAGTTTACCAGCACTGAGGTAATTTTGAGATTTCCAGTTACTCATTGCTTAGGCAAAATCGGTATATGCGTGTGTGGTGTAGATGGTATTGGACGTTTTATTGTTGATATATTAATTTGACGTTCATGTAGCATCGTGTCATTGTGTGGCACTGGATATTGAAGGGCGTTGCTATACATGGGGGCGCAATGAGGTATGACTAAACTCGTTTGCTTGCTTTCAGCATATTTAGTTTCACTTAATTTGTTCTGTAAATGATAATTCTTGGAGCTTAACTTGTTTGCACAGAAGGGACAATTGGGCCATGGGGATTCAATTCAGCGTGATAGGCCTACAATTGTTTCTGAACTTTCGAAGTGAGTTGTTCTAGTCATTACTTTGCGTGATAGTTCCATGTCTGATATTTTTTTCGTGATGGACCACGGGAGCTTGCCATTTGTCATAGAATGCAAAGTAGTCATGCTTATTCTTTCTATTGTTTGAGAAAACAGTGTTTACTGTTAAAAAAACTCTCTCTTTTCTATATTATTCAAGTTGATTTTTGTGTTGTTCATTAAAGTTAGTGGTTTGATATTGATGAATATTTTTTGCTGAAATCCAATGCTCTACTGGTTGTTCCAAAGGTATAAAACTATTAGAGCTGCAGCAGGAAGGAGTCACACGGTTGTGGTCACAGAAGATGGTCAATCCCTAGCATTTGGCTGGAATAAACATGGGCAGCTGGGTTCTGGTTCAACGAGAAATGGTAAATTTAGTTTTGAATGAAACACCAATACATGTTAACTCTATGTATGCTTTCACGGAAGGCATAAGTTGGGTTATTACATTTAAAAGTTGGGCAGCAAGAACAAAAAAAACAAAAGAAATCTTTCTGTGCATTCTTTTGTTTCCTGTTATTTATAGAACTAAGGGATCTAGTATAGTTTCTCCGTTTATATGTTTATTTGTAGATATCAACCTTCTAGATTATAAACCTTTGTTCTATTGCTTTATAGAAATCGAGTCATCTCCTGTTCGTTGTCTTGTGTCTGATGTGAAGAATACTGCTTGTGGAGGTGATTTCACTGTTTGGTTATCATCTGTTGAAGGAGCTTCTATACTGTATGGTTTGTGGATAATTTTAGTTCTGTTTTTTTTTTTTCCTTCATCTGTTTAAGAAGCTTATGGTTCTGAGTTTAATGCAGTCACTCTCTGATTTTCAAAATGTTTGCCTGTTTGTAGAACTGCTGGCCTTCCACAGTACGGTCAGCTTGGACATGGAACAGACAATGAGGTGTGTTGAAAGGTCATTTACCTTGAATGATTTTCTAATAAATTTCAAGCTGTCACCTGTAGAGAACTTTTGTTAAAAATTTTTATTGTGCATGCTACATTCAACAATTAACTAAAGTTGTCACATTGCATGGGCCCTTGTTTGTTTTATTTGTGTGCGTTATATTGTTGGACAACATATCTGTGAGACAGGGTTGCATCAGCATTTAGTTGGTCTATGTGTTTAGGTTTGGCTGGCTTTGGAGGTACCTGCCTAACCAAACCCCTGAATGGTGTTTTGTTTCAATAGAGTAGCATCTAATCTATGGGTAAGGTCGGTTTACATTAGGCTTTTTAATGTAAAACCAACACCTAACCTGAAACTTTGGTGTGCCATCCACCATCACTCTGAAATAATTGAAACCTACATATTTATAGTTGAGTTTATTGGATTTATGGTTAAATAGACAGCAATAATGGCAGTATTGCAATGTCAGGTGACTTTCAAAGGCTGTAAAGCTGGAGGTTGGAAAGTAGATATTATGTGAGGAAATGTAGTTTATTCCAATTTGATGTGATTCTATTTAAAGTTATGTTTTACTTCATGTTGCAATTCAAAAGCCTATTTTGGGATGTAATGATAATGAACTGCATTAATTATGTTTTAATTCGTCCACAGGGATCTTAATGAGAAATTAACTTTGCTTGCAGTACAATACTAAAGATAGTTCAGTCAGGCTTGCTTATGAAGCCCAGCCACGTCCTAGAGCAATTGCTTCTCTTGCTGGGGAAACTATCGTAAAAGTTGCATGTGGAACTAACCATACAGGTTTTTAGTAAAAATGCCCTTTCTCTTCTATATCCACGCACACACGCACTCTCCTACTTGTCCATGGGCGTGTACCTTTTGTTTGTTATTTGTTGAATTAACTAATTTGTTATGGGCATCCAGTGGCTGTGGATTCAAATGGATATGTTTACACGTGAGTGTAACCTCATATGATTTTTCTTTTCTTTTTGCTATAAAATAGCTGTTTCTCTTTCGATACATCTTTTATATATCAATAATTGATGGTTGTTCATGGTGCATGTGTTTAGGTGGGGCTTTGGTGGTTATGGAAGGTTGGTATCTTCTATTTGGCATTTGTCCTTTTGATCTATGCGGCCAGAACGTTTTAAAACGTTGGATAAGTTTTGAAGAAAAGTGATTTTGCACCATGCCTAATTCTTGTTTGCTTTATCCTCTTCTATGTGTGTAATTTTCTGATTGCTCAATACAGGCTTGGGCATAGAGAACAAAAAGATGAATGGATTCCCCGTCGTGTGGATGTCTTTTCTAGGCATAATGTTCTGCCTCCTGATGCAGTGATTTCTGCTGGTTCTGTGAACTCTGCGTGTACTGCAGGTATGATCTGCCATTTGTTGCTATTATGCAACTTGTGTAAAAACCAATTTTTTTAGTATTTTTTTTTAGTCACATCTTTCCTTTTAACTATTTAAATTTGCTGTCTTATTATTAGTAAGGATTTGGGTGATTTATTTCTGTTTGCTTGATGATGGATCATAGAAATTGGTAATCTTGAATGAGCTATGTGAGCCTTTTAATTCTCCAACTGAAGTTTTCATGACCACATGCCCTGCCCCTTGAATGACATTCATCTTTTAAATTGAAGAACATTTAGAGTTACCAGCCACGTGTTCTTATGGTCTTTCTGTGACATCATTCAAACGTCTTTTGATTTAGCAGTCATGCATCTAGCAATCGGTATAATCTCTGCCTTCTCCAAACATTTGAACACCATTCGAGCACATATTTTATGGTGGGATTTCATATTTGTGTGAGCAAATAACACCTCATGGTTATTGATTTTGACTATGCAGTAGGCAGTGCAATTTATGTCTTACGGAAACCTAAAAATGCTGATAATATTCGGTTATATTTGTTTTATCAGGAGGCGGACAGTTGTATATGTGGGGCAAAATAAAGAATACTGGTGATGACTGGATGTATCCTAAGCCTCTAATGGATTTAAGGTTCTTCTCTGCCATTTTCATATAATTAATTTTGTAATGGCAATGTGCTGTTTCTTTGTTTATGATCATTTGATATCTAGAGCTTATGCTTATTATGCTATGAGTTCAAATAATTGACTCTAATATGCAAATCAGTATTTTAATAGACAATTGTTCTTTGTTTCTTTCCTTTGCCTCTTTATTTGCTCACAGTGGTTGGAATTTACGCTGCATGGATTCTGGCAACATGCACCATTTTGTTGGCGCGGATAACTCCTGCATAAGTTGGGGCCATGCTCAGTATGGTGAACTTGGATATGGTCCTAATGGACAGAAGTATGTGATCATTGCTTTATTCTTAGATACTTCTCTCCTTATATTTAGTTCACTTTTTTCTTTGTTTCTGCATGTCAGGTCTTCTGCTGTGCCCAAGAAGGTAGATATTCTTGAGGGCATGCATGTAATTCGGTGAGCGGGATATTTTATTTATTATATTCATCATGTCATATACTTCAATTGTATCTGTGAGATTTAACAATGCATACTTTTCTGCTCCAGTGTTGCATGCGGCATGGGTCATTCCATGGTTATAGTTGACAGAACAAACGTTGGTGACAGACTAGAGCAGGTAATACTTTTTACTGTACAATCTAGTTGTCTTGGTATTATAAGTTGAGTACTATTTTTCTTTGTCATATGATGCAGTCTCTGTTGAGATTTGTTGATGATAATTCCTATTTATTATTTGATGTAATTACAGAAAACACACAGTTCAGTCATTTCACCAGTTGTATTTAGTTTGTGAAAGAGCATGGTACTTTTACTAAAAAAAATACTTTTAGTTACTACTATTATTATTATCCTTGTGAGATAAAACTTGTAGTGTTGTTATAATTACTAATATGAATGAATGTGGAATCCATTGTATTGACAAATGATTTACTTCGACATCTTGTTGGGCTTGTATATGGTTGTTAGTGTTAACATTTGATCACTTTTGCCACCCAAAATTGACACATGTATGTTTTAACGCTTTTGTTAATCACATTTATTTTATTTTGCACAGCTGGATGTCTATGACGGCAAAGCTTCTGGTGAAGGTATGATGTTGACAGATATTATTCATTGATTTCTTTTCTTGCTTGCTAGACATCCCTGCATTTGCATGTCGTGATGAGGTAGTGTTACGCGTCAGGAGTTATTGGGAGTCAGATTTATGCTCTTTTTAATATGGATCAAAGCAGTCCAGAACAAGATTTATTGCATCTTAATATATGAACTGCCATAGATATATCCCGTAGAAGGCATTGCATGACAGGGATTGGAATTTGACTGTTATTTGACTATTTTTTGCTGCAGGGAGTGCAGAACCAGAGAGCAAAGTCCCATCTGCTAAGCAAAGTACAAAAAAAAGTGCCTCTAAAGCTTCTAATAACAAGAAAAGGAAGAAATCCAAGGATTCATCAGAATCAGAGGATGAAGAGATCAGTGAAGATGAAAGTGACAACAGCGAAGAACAGGTTAATGGCCGAACACAGCAAAGCAAGCCGGGTGGTAAGGGCCAAGGTAAAGGTACAACAAAATCAGCATCTGCAGGAAAAGTTGCTGGGCGCGGGCGGGGTCGCCCATCACCATCAAATAAAAGTGCAAATACTGCTGCAGGGAAAGCTGGGAAGAGAGGTAGGCCGCGAAAAGCATAACCTGCATGTTCCTAGATGAAATGGAAATTTTTGCTGCGTGTAGAGAAGTGTACTATTTCATACTTCGGTTATTTTATTTGCATTTTTTCAATTATTCAAGCATTTTCAATTTTCAGTCCCCTTAAAATTGTTGTGTTTTCTGAGGAAAACAATTTTCCTGGATTAGCTCCGCTCACTTGGGAGATTTGGGGGAACTGAAACATTTTATTACTCAATTTGTACCATTTTATATGGAAAAAAAAAAAAAAATTCTCATTCTATTACGTTGATGCTGGGGTTATTTCTATTGTAATTTCTTTTTAGTGCTCGATCAATTTTGTTAAATATTGGTGTTTGTTGAGATTACTAGGATGTTTGAGGTTAGGAAAGGGGCATCCCTGGCAATTATGTATCCCAAGTCCGTAGATCCATGTCTTGCCGGGAAAGATTTCGTCTTGGTTAGAATTTTTATTCTGCATTGTCTCGTAGTTGAACTGGGACTTTATATCATTTTGTTTTTGTAAATAGAGGGGATAGAAATCAGAGAGGCCCAATAATGCGATGGCCCAGTACCATGCTAATGAGCCGCAGCACGTGAAATAGGCCCGTATAGCTTGTTAACAAATACTCACTCATAAATTTTATACGAGGTTTTAACAATAAAATAAAATATTTAATTTCACTTGTATGTCATTTTATCCAACTAATTTGGGATTATGGGTTAGTGGTCAGTCAAACATGCTTTAGGGAATGCAACTGAAAAGTAATTTGGAATCGTTGGATTTTGAAAACCATCTGCGTCAAGCTATGGGCTGCCCATATCCTTTTCACTTTTCAGTCACCCCATAAAGAGCAATTCACAGAAGAGAGATAATAAAGATGGCATGATTTTCCTGTATCAGTAATCTCCCTAAACAAGGCTCTACATTTCATATTTAAATTCAAGATAACATACATTTTAGTACCAAATTGAAATGTACTACAAAACTAGGGTTTAAGTTTGTTCATCTCATGCTGCTTTCTCTGGCAATTATATATGCCAGTCTACTCTCTTCTCCTCTTAGCCTTAAAAGGCATCAGCTTAATTTTTCTTTTCTCGATGAGTCTCAGAAGCAGCGAATCACAATAAATTCTCCCATCACAATTGGAGTGCGTTAGCTTCAACTATGTAACAGTTAATGCTTCAACATCATCTCCATCATGTTTCTCATATAATGACTTATTTGAATTCTCGTAGAAGCTATCTGGTGATGGTTTCTCTCAGAGCCAACCGCGCACGGCGGTGTTTGTTATCGAAGATACGATTAATGGCGATGAACGAACTATTAATTTATTTTAGCTCGTCTCCTTACGAGATAGGTGGGCAAGCAATTGGGCCGGTTGAAAAAGTGGGCAAGAAATTGGGCCGATTCAATGAGTGGGAAGCAAGAGATATAGGACGGAAAAATTAATAAGGTATATATTAAAAATATAAAAAGTATATAGGGATAAATAAGTAATTTAATTAGGAGTATAAGCACAAAAATTAATGCACACTCTCCTTTCTTTTCTTTACCACCTTTGGTGGTCTTATGAAATTTGCTGTAAATTTCAATTAACTTTTATTTCTTTTCCCCGCTCTTACACGAAAGGCTAAAGAAATTTTATGCTGCTATCTATGCATTTTCTCCGTCTGACTTTCTTTTTGCATTTGTCTTAGATTATAAACTCTCTCTCTCTCTCTCTCTCTCTCTCTCTCTTCTTTTTTAAGTATAGTTAATTTCTTATTTCTTTTATTTAATATCTATTTTTTTTTCTTCTATAATTAAATTAGGAGACGTAATCTCCTTAAATCATAAAGCATAAATGTTTTATTAATATTTATGTAGATAGCTAAAGTGGACAAAATTTATTGATGAAACAACATTTAATTATTTTTTTCATAAAAATAGAAACAAGTCGAAGAAATTGCGACTGGCCTCACCAGTTATTACAAATTAGAAAATTCGAAAGGAATCCTACAGTTGATTTCAGGTACAAAAACTGCACTATAAGATGATGAACATCAGATATATATCTTGGCCACCAGCAAGAGATGATCTCTCTTGCGCACGGCAATACCAGGCAGCACATCATCGATATCTATGTCTTCCCTTTTCATCCCAGCTGGCATTTCCCAGTCAAATTTGTACAGAAGATTAGCAAGTGAAAGCTCCACATTAGCTATTCCCATAAATATACCTGGACAAATTCTCCGGCCGCCGCCAAATGGAATAAGCTCATAATCTTGTCCTTTCATGTCAACATTACTGTTCAAGAATCTATCGGGATAGAACTCTAATGGCTTCTCCCAAACTTCAGGGTCTCTTCCAATTGCCCATGCATTTACATGAACTAAGCTTTTGGCAGGTATGTGGAACCCGCCTAAAGTGCAATCCTGAACAGTTTCTCTGGGGACTAATAATGGCACAGTTGGTTGTAGTCTCATTGTCTCTTTCACCACAGCTTTAAGGTAAGGCATTTGTTGAACGTCATCTTCGTTTACAAATCCTTTTTCTCCAATTGTGTTTCTAATTTCTTTCTGAGCTTTTCTCATTGCTTCTGGATTTCTCATTAGAAAGCCCATGGCCCAAATCACAGTAGCTGCACTTGTGTCTGTTCCAGCAACAAATACGTTCTACATGCGAGTATATGAAAGTGAGATACAATTATGGTAGACCAACAATAAGAAAAAGAAAAAAAAAATTACCATAAGAATTGCTTTGATGTGATCGAAGCTTAGTTGAACTTTAAAAGAACGATCATTCCAAATCTGAAGTAAAACATCTAGGATGTTCTCATACTCGGGCTTTTCTCTGTTTGGATCCAGGTGTTCATCAATGAGCTGTTGGTAGAAAATATCAAATTCACTGAAATTCTTTTCAAGGCGAGAAACCATTCCAGAGAGTTTATCAACAACCCAACCGAAATAGGGAAAATAATCAGAAAAGAAGAAGCCAACAAACAAGGCCTGAGTTTCATTGAGCAGCTGATGAAACCTATTTGCTTGGCTTCCTCCTTCCTCATATCTCTTACCGAAGGCAACTCTGCATATTGCAGCACTTGTAAGAGCCATCATTTGTTCAGTCAAGTTGACAGGTTTAGAATCATTGGCTAAACTCGATATGTTTCGAAGCATACGCGAAACTTCATCTTCTCTAATAGGACGGAAAGATTGGACTCTGTTGGAGTTTAAAAGATAAATGACACATATTTTTTTCATTTCTCTCCAATAATCATCGTAAGGTGCAAAAGCCAAATCTAAACCATTGTAGGATAATTTTTGAAGACCAGCCAAAAGCGGTCTGCTACAAAAATCAAGATCTTGGGTTTTCAATACCTCTCTTGCCATTTTTGCAGAGGAAACTATAAGGGTTGGCTTTGACCCTAGTCTTAAGAACATAAGGGGACCATATTGTTTGGAAAGTAGCCATAGATGTTTCGGAAGGTTGGAATTATCAAGCTGGAGTAAATTTCCTATTAAGGGAAGGCCCTTAGGGCCAGGAGGGAGACCTCGCGTCGTTTGTTTCTTGACAAGAAACAGTAGGAAGAGGGGGAAAAGTATAACTAGAACTAGAAGGCTAATGTGTAAGGCTGCCATGATCTATGAACTCAGAATCGACTATATGAGATGCATGCATGGGGTGAATATAAATGTAGCAAACCAATGTTTGAAAAACCCAATCATTGAATTTGGTATTTTAATCATTCCATCTAAGACGGAGAGATCACAGTGTTATTAGAATCATAAATTAGCTTCATAGTTAGTTTACTATAATTTAATGACCCGATTTTAGCTTCATAAATTGGGTGTATGGGGAGACCTATTGATCTAGTTTTAGCTGTTAAGGTTTATTAAGCTTTTTCTTGAAACAATTTTCAATAAAATAATAATTTAATGGCCAATTTATTTTTTCACCTTAAATAACTGTTAAAAAAATTATATAATTTTTAATAAAATTATAATTTAATGACCAATTTATTTTTTCACCTTACATAACTGTTAGAAAAAACTATATACCTTGAACAAAAAGATAGAAATATGTTGTAGAATTTAGCGTGGTAATGGATAAATATTTTAAATATTTAATTTCGGTAGTTAATGATAAAATAAGAAGTATAATAATAAATGGAAGAGACACAAAATTTACGTAAAAACCCTCCAATGTAGAGGGAAAAAACCACGGGGCGAGAGAGGAGTAAATGCACTGCGAAAAATATGGAGGAGATACAAATGATTTTACACCCACACAAAAATATATACAAGATAACACCTCACTACACTCAATGAATATAGCAGGAGTGTGTATATATATGAAGAGGAGGTATATGAAAAGAGTGAATAGTATAGACAAATTCTCTTGGAGGATTGCTCTCTTGGATGAATTTAGTTTTAGCTTGTTAAGGTTTATTAAGCTTTTTTTCTTGAAAACAAATTTTCAATAAAAATAATATTTAATGGCCAATTTTATTTTTTTTTCAACCTTAAATAACTGTTAAAAAAAATTATATAATTTTTTAATTAAAATTATAATTTAAATGACCAATTTATTTTTTTCACCTTACATACTGTTTAGGAAAAAACTAAATATAACCTTGGAACAAAAAAAGATAGAAATAATGTTGGTATGAATTTTTAAGCGTGGTAAAATTGGATTAAAATTATTATTAAAATATTTAATTTCGGTAGTTTAAAATTGAATAAATAAGAAGTAAATTATAATAAAATGGAAGAGACATATTCGAGCAATTACGTAAAAAACCCTCCAATGTAGAGGGAAAAAAAAACCACGGGGCGAGAGAAGGAAAGTAAAATGCACTGCGAAAAATATGGGAGGAGATACAAATAATTTTACACCCAACAAAAAATCATATACAAGAATAAACACCTCAACTACACTCAATGGAAAGATAACACCTCACTACACTCAATGAATATAGCAGGAGTGTGTATATATATGAAGAGGAGGTATATGAAAAGAGTGAATAGTATAGACAAATTCTCTTGGAGGATTGCTCTCTTGGATGAATTTCACTTGGTTGAATGTGATGAATTTGCTCCAAGCAAGATTGCCTTATATAGAGGTGTATCACCATGTGAACAAACTTCAAATCTTCCTTCCATTGATAATGTGCCATCCTAATCCAAGTTAGCTTACCAACATATAAAGCCAACCAATATTGAATTTCCTTAGCCATCCAAAGATTAATATAAACCATGAAAAACATGTAGCCAACCAATGTAGACTTGAAGTATGAATCTTAGAATTTTAAAGTAATTTTAACAAAATATTAATGAAATCATAATTTAAAGATTTTATATTTAATTTTTAAAATTTACGATTCTCATTATTAATTCAGATATCAACTTATACTTTTCCCTCGAAATATTATAACAATCAGACTCACAACATTATAGCGTGCCAAAGACTTGAAGTGAACCTCAGTGTCCGTTGACACAAGCACTCGTTTTAAACAATTATATGAAAATAAGATCATTATATCACTTCAATTAATGTTAATAATTAATTTATTTTTGTACCCAAAATTCTACTTTACGCAATCACTATGAGCCGTAAGATAATTCACAGGAGTATCCAACGATCTTATCTCTTGATTAGATATTTATCATCCTCTAATTTTAAGGACATAAACCCTACAGTTGAAAAGATAAAAACAAAAAGGGTTGTGAGAAAATTTCTCTCGTATGTATACACACAACACACAACACGTAAATATTTTCAAGATTACATCATTTAGGTAATTTTTGTTAACGGTGATAATGTAACAGTAAATTTATTTAGTAAATTTTCTCACTAATGTATCAGATACTAAACAAGGTTGATGTTTTGTGTAACATGATTCGTAATTTGACGAAGATGTGCAGAGAATGCTATACATAAACATTTTACCTAATTTTGAAATACCATATACGTAAATATTTTGAAGACTATACGATTTAGGTAATTTTTTTTAAACACCATTTTGAAAAATTGGTCTTGTATTATTTTGAACCACCATATGGCATGTGTTTGTGTTTTTTTGGTAAGAGCACCGACAGGCAGCTTGAATCCGCTCATTTCAGCGGGTAATTAGGGGCCACCGTTATAAGAAAAGCCTGTAAAATGAATTGCCTGTCCATAAAATTGACTCGCTCGGAGGGGCACAGGAATTTATGTTTTATAAAATTACATTTTTATCCTTTTCTATTTTATTTCTTACAAGTCCAATCCCATCTTCTCTGCATTGTACATGCAATCATCAAAATGGTCGTCGCTGAGAAAAACTTTGGACAAGTTTGCATGGGCATATATATATATATATATAATAAGAGTAGGTATTTTATCTTGGTTGTTTCATCGAAGGATTTAGACAGCAACATTTTTGGTGGGTTGGCTTAAATACTGAATGCAAATAATTCAAGGGATAATTTATAATATTTGTATGTAATATTTTATTTTTAAATAGTATAATAATTGCATTTTTTTTTTTTTTTACATCAAATGAAATTGCCTCGAAGAACTTGAATGAATTTTTAGATGCAAATTCAGAGATTTTTAAGTTTAGAAAAAACAGACTACATATTACATAATTTTTTAAGGAAGAGGATGATATATTAATATTAAGAAACTAAATTCATGGCTACCCATATACTTAATTGAATATTTAAGCCTGCACGAAGTCCTTAGCCATTAAAACCAGATGGTGCTTCTTGTGAACAGTAATTCCAGGGTGCACGTCATCAAAATCAATGTTTACATATACTAAACTTTTTGCTGGTCTATCGTAACCTTCTACTTTGCAGTCATCAATTGTTTCTCTCGGGACGAGCATTGGAACTGATGGGATCCAATCTCATTGTCTCTCTCACTACTGCCTTGAAATATGGCTATTTCTGAATTTCTTCTTCATTAACAAATCCGTTCTTTCCAATCAAACTTCTGATTTCTTCTTGAGCTTTTCTCATTTTTTCTGGATTCTTCATCAGCAAGCACATGGCCCATACCACAGACGAGGTGGTTGTGTCTGTGCCAGCAACAAACAGGTTCTGCAACGAGATAACAGAAAAAATTATATATATATTTAGATTCCAGATAGATTATTAAATATGAGTTGCAGTCATTTGGGGTATAGATATATATACCATAAGATTTGTTTTTACGTGAGCTGAATCTTATACGTGTTCTCTTTAAAAAGCTTAAGTAAAACTTCCACTAAGTTCTCATAGTCAAATTCAGTGAAGTTCTTACTGAGACGAGGGAGTAATCCAGTAACACTATCCACAATCTTTCCAACATAAGGAAAATAATCTGAGAAAAAGAATCCAGCAAACATGGCTTGAGGTTTGGTGGAGTAGGCATGCTAGCCTATCTCCAACATTACAACTCTTGCCAGTAGCAGCTCTTAAAGCTATATTATTTGCAAGTGCAAGCATTGCCCCAGATAAGTCGAAAGGTTTATTGACAGCTGCAGATTTAGAGACGCTATTCACCAAGCGTGAAACCTCATCTTATCTGATAGGACGGAAGGTGGCTGATCGATTTGAATTAAAGAGATGAACAACACCAATTTTTCTCATCTCCCTCCAGTAATCATTATAAGGTGGAAAAACCACGTCTAAGCCATTGTAAGAAAGTATGTGACTACCAATCAATGGAGGTCTGCTGCAGAAGTTAAGATCATAGGTTTTCATAATGTCTTGAGCCAGTTTGGCAGAAGTAACAACAATGGTTGGGTTACTTCATGCATGCGGCCAATTCATGCATGCGGCCAATCAGTTATCTATCATTGATTCGAATGACAGGCTGTTAGGACCATGCCAGTATATTCCTTTTGTCAATTATGTTCATTTAAGATCCAATCATAAATTTCTTCCTTGTAATTTGCGTCATCTGAAGGCAAGGGAGGAAAAGTCTCCACTGCAAAAATATATGAAAAATTTTACTTAAAAGAGGGTTCACGTTAATGAATCAAATCAACGAGAATAAAATTTTTTATTAAAATGAAGATATTTTTGACCATACATTGTAAAATAATGATAAAATCGAAACATTTTTTAAAGAATTTTTACTATAATTAGTTTGGTTCATAAACATAGTAATGAACCGGACAAGTAATTTTAAAAAATATATTACAATTACGTAAAAACTCATATTTAATATGAAAAAATACACTATAATTTATTTCAAAAAAATACTATAAAATTTATTAATATTGTTTTTTATTAAAATATTATTTTTTTATATATAAGAGGTCTAATAAGCTCTTTTTAAAATTTTATAACCGAGATGATTCGAACTCGATAACTCTTATTCCCCACATCTTTTCTAACATGTTATTATTTATTCTCTTTTTGTAGAAATATTAATTATTCAATTAATATTGTATAATATTAAGGGTGTTAAGCAGGATTATGGCCCCTAAATCAAAAAACAAAAAAAATAATTATCCGTGTGAGAAATTTTGACAAAAATATATTTTAGTTTTAGTTTCTACTTTTATAATTAAGTAAAATTATTTTTTGACCGCCTAATTATTTGGGTTAGATCTCATACCGAATGGTAAATTATACGTAGTTACTGCCATTTACTATTTCTTTCTACATCATAACGGTTATTTCAGCTCCCGATATCATAAAGTTACTCACCGTAGTTACTGTGAGTAACTTTTTTGAATATTTTTAGTCGGCACATGATTATAATGGTAGGTGACACCAAACAAATTGCTGACCAAACGTGAGATATGTGTGGTGAACGGTGACAACTTGATATTTCTTTCTTGGATTCAGTTGTTTATACTCATTTCATGGGTTGACCTATTAATCATGTGAATAAAATTAAATATATTTTTAACTATACACGAAAAAAAAAAAGTTTTTTTTAATTAATTTAGCCTATAAATAGATTATAAATCAAATTTATGCAAATCTAATATATTTTTACATGATCCATGCATTTTACGCTCTTTTCACTTATGACTTAAACCAATTTACAGTAAAATTTTTTTGTCATTAAATATAATCAACTTAAGGAAGGAAGGATTAACAAAAATTATTATACATATATAAAAATTACCAGTGTCCGGACTCCCCATTACTAATAACCACGTAATTCGACTCTGTGAATCTATGTCCAGTAGGAATCGAATTCAAAAACTCTTTTCACATGTCCAGTTTGTGTTACCAATTGAGTCATAGTCCGTAGGCAGGAACGCTCAATTTTTAATTCATGCAGTTTAATTTTTATTTTAGTTTATAATTTGAGATATCGTGGTGGGTATTACTGTTTATATTTACCTATAAATTTTATAATGTTATTTTAATTGACTCATAAAATGTTAAATATACGCTAGAACTCCATAGTACGGTTTACAATATTTTATGGGTTTTTATACTAAAATAATTAATGTCATACAAAATGCAATGCAAAAAGGCCACCCAGCCCATTTAAACCGTCAAGTTTTAATTTTTAGAGAAACATTTTTTGGGCCTCCGCTAATATCACCAGTTAGTTTCCTTTATCTCAAGCCCAATTCCGAAACTAATTATTTATCTATTTACGTGTCCTTAACCACGTATCATACATATTTTCTAGCCATTAGAGAAAGAGCATTTCTCTTGTGCATGGTAATACCTGGCTGTGCTTCCATGTCTAAGTCTTCTTTCTTCATCCCAACAGGCATTTCCCAGTCGAATTTGTAGAGTAAATTAGCAAGAGAAAGCTCTACATTTGCTAGTCCCATAAACATTCCAGGACAAATTCTTCTTCCAGCTCCAAAAGGTATTAGCTCGTAATCTTGCCCTTTTAAATCAATGGAGTTACCCACAAATCTCTCAGGACAAAACTCTTCTGGGTTTTCCCAGACTTCAGGATCTCTTCCAATAGCCCATGCATTCACATAAACTGCAGTTTTAGCAGGTATATCGTGTCCGTCTAAACAGCAGTATTGAGATGATTCTCTTGCGATTAACAAAGGAACTGTCGGTTGCAATCTCATTGTCTCTTTAATAACAGCTTTCATGTAAGACAGGTGTTGAGTATCTTCTTCGTTAACAAAACCTTTATTTCCAACAACGCTCCTTACTTCTTCCTGAGCTTTCTTCATTGCTAGAGGATTCTTCATTAGGAAAGTCATGGCCCAAACTACAGTAGCTGCACTAGTGTCTGTTCCGCCCACAAATACGTTCTGTCCAACAAGAACATATGAAGACAACATTTTTAGTACATGGAATCACACAAGGAATCTATTAATGAGACATAATCAGATACTTTTGTTATTATTATTATTAATGAGATTTATCTTTTAAAACTATAGTTAGGTTGTGAGTTTGAAATTCAGTTAAGACAGAACGTGAAGAAATAAAGAAAACAAACTAAATTTTGGATTGAAAATGGAGACATATAGTATAAATATGATACTTTACCATGAGCAAAGCTTTGATATGATCCAAGGTTAGATCAGTTTTGGAAGAACGATCCTTCCAGATTTGAAGCAAGACATCAAGTATGTCTTCTTGCTCAGGCTTTAATCTATTTGGATCGAGGTGTTCTTGGATTATTTGTTGATAGAAAATATCAAATTCCCTGAAGTTCTTTTCTAGGCGATGAATTAATCTAGTGAATTTATCAATAAAACCCAAGAAAGGAAAATAGTCTGAAACAAAAAAACTTGTAAACAAAGCTTGAGTTTCTTTAAGCAACTCCTGAAATCTGCTCCCTTCAGTATTACTATTTCCCACTTCTTCCTCGTATCTCTTCCCAAAAGCAACCCTACAGATTATAGTACTTGTAAGACACATCATGGCTTCAGATAAATTTATAGGTTTAGAAGCAGCAGCCAGTTTTGAGATCTTATCAATCATATGGGAAACCTCAGATTCCCTAATGGGATAGAAACTTTGCGATCTATTAGAGTTGAAGAGATGAACTATACATATTTTTCTCATCTCTCTCCAGTAAGTATTATAAGGTGCAAAAGCTAAGTCTAAACCATCATAAGATAATTTTTGCTGGCCACGAAAGGAAGGTCTGCTACAAAATATAAGATCATGGGTTTTCAATATTTCTTTAGCCATATTTGCTGAAGAAACTACTAAAACTGGCAAGAAACCTAGACGTAAAGACAATAAAGGTCCATATTTTTGCGAGAGTTGCCATAGATAACGATGAGGAGCTGAGTTATCAAATTGATGTAAGTTGCCTATTAAGGGAAGGCCTCGAGGACCAGGTGGCAAATGAAGAAGATTATTCTTATTAGTTTTGTGCTTCTGGAGAAGAAACAAGAGAAAGATTGGAAGAGCTAATGCAAAGAAGATGAACAAAGCCATTTTCAAATTATGATTTAATCAGAAAGAGGTCTTTCATTATATAGAAAGCTTCTTCACTGTTATTTTTGCAGGCAAAACTACAGAAGATAGTGAATTTCAACTTTGCTTTCTTTTTTTTGAAAGGACATGTAACAAACTTTGCTGTTATCATCATCGATCAGGTTTGCACCGCTAATCGAATACAGTCTTGATATTTTATTAATAAATTATAAAAATAATGTGTATTCTATTAGATTATAATCTTAGTTAAAATTTTAAGCAGTTTAATTATTATAAATTTAATTTAATTTTGGCTCATATGCAAAAATTGCAAAAGTTGAGGCTGTTTCATCACCCTTATGGCCGGCAAGAACTTTCAGTGTTGCTTTATTTAATTAACATCCTCATTACATTTTCTCAATCAGATACCATATTTTCAATCTTTTACTATATTTTTTAAGAGAGAAATTAATTAATCTTTATCTATATTAATTCACCGCACGCCACCACAGGGAAGCAGTTTTAGGTCACAGAAAAATGAAAATCTAAAAAGACAAAAAAGATAACGACATTAATAATAATTAAAAGAAATAATAATAAAAACTCATAAATAAAATAAATAATTACATAAAGTTGAAGAACAAACAAAGTGAAGGAGTCATCCATCCACACCCACCATCCATGCAAACAGAGAATTCGCCACCTGCTTCGTCCATCCATCATTTTTGTTCATTGAGAAACACTTACCTCATTGCTTACGGAACCACTTACTAATTGAGGAAAGAAAAATAGATAAAATAATATTTTCTTTAAAATATAATTAAAAAATGAAAGTTAAAAAATGCAATAGGTGAAGAAATTAAACAATTGAAATTTGAAATAGGAGATGAGAAATGTCTGCAGAATTTTTTGAAGTAGTTAGCAAGGATGTAAAAATCTATGTATTATGCGAATTAATAAATGTTTTCTAACGTAACGTGTATATATATATGTATATTTGATTTTATAATTTTTGTCAGTATTTTGATTTAATACACAACATATTATAAGCAATTTAGTTTAGTTACTTTGATTTTCACATAATTGAACTTATAACATTTTAGATAAATGCCGAAAAATTTTTGATATGGATCAATGAAAATCAAAACAAAAGAAACGAAAACAAAAAAAAAAATAAGACTTACCTACATCTGGTATATGAGATCACTCAATACCGAGATAATTTATAAAAAATTTTTTAAAAAATATTGGTCCTATATCTTTTGTTTTCACATCAAATATACTCTTGTTATAATTAAATATTTATTTTTGATTGATTTGAGGTATGGATTAACCCATGCAACGGGTAAATCATTGAAAAAAATGCAAATCCCAATATCCCATGCAAATGCACATTGTAACCTAATTGGACGCGTTTTTCATACACCCAAACCCATTATAACAATTTTTATCCATATATCCCATGGCACATGTTTAGGGGGGGGGGAGTGTAGGCCCAAAAGAAACATGCTCATGGGCCAAGCTCAAACCTACCGTTCCCATTTCAACCTCATTGGATCCATTCTTTCTACACCCATGCTACACTATGACTGTAACATTTAGTACTAGCCCATATGCTTCAAAAATGAACCTTAAAATAGACAAAGTCATTGTTAAGTTTTGCAGGCCTCTAGAAAGTGTAGATTCTGGGAGTGCATAGAAGTTGGAAACCAATAACTATTCAGCAACTTGCATCTTTTCACATGATGAATGAAATATATATATATGCTTTCACAATAACTTGTAAATGGAGGTAAATCATGCAATGAGTGGATCAGTGGAAGCATAAAATGTGGGAGAAAGCCCCTTTAGTGCTTATATGACAGTGGATAATCCAAATTTAATAGTCATAAAGAAGCAAAATACAAGAGTCCAAAATATTATATTCTATTTCACAAGAGACATCCAATTCATGTTGTGGGTTTTTAGATTGGTCTGTACATGGGAAATAAGTAAGTCATTCTAACAAAAAAAAGATACAAATCCTATCCAAATGTAGAAGCATACGTAAAAGAAAATATATTATTTTCCCCCATTTGAGAGACAAGTCTCATGCCTCTATTGTGCATGCAATAATCAAATATTCTATTGCTGGGGTTTAATTAAGTTATGGACACGATATTTTGCATCATGAAAAATTACGTAGGGACAATTCTCACTCATACGGTCTAACTCGCTTCTAAAGTGGAGATTGAAGAGCTGTGGGGAAGCATCTGCTGATGTCACTCCCAACTTGCTTCTTTGAATGAGATTGAACCTAGCTAATTTAGCCCAGTGCTTGACAGCCCCATGCAAATGCAATTGCAACCTAATTGGACCCCTTCTTCGTACACCCATTATTTACAATTTTCATGTCCATATCCCACGATGCATGTTTAGAGGTGGGGTGTAGCCTCACAACAGACATGCTCATGTCATGGGTCAAGCTTAAATTTTTATTCTCTGAAATTTACTTTTGTTTGCCATTTTTCTATAGCACGTTTTCACACTGAAATCAAAATGACATTCAGATAAGACTCTTGATAATGTGTATTCAATAGTTGTATTTGTCTAATAATATATATGTATAGCTGCATGGGATAGGCCAAACTTGTTGGATCTCATTGTCTTGTAGACTCTGCATATATTTATATATATTGCAAGTAATAGATAGTGAGAAATTTTGTGAAAGGAACATCTTATCTCGCCATCATCATTAGGGTTTCTTCTTATAAATTACCCCATGTGATGTGGGGGCTCCACCTTGGGAAGAAAAGTGTGAGAGTGGTGAGCAGTCATGTGCCGTTGTACCTAAATTTGCCAGTTTGATTGCTCAAATAATATAAAATCATCGCTCTTTGCTTTAATTACCTTTCTAATTTATCCTACTAACTACAGACTTATGATTTAAACTGAAAACGTTGTTCTGCTTCTAAAATAATGCCCAATAAGTTGTTGGTAGGTGTGATTGATAGTTATATAATCTGTAATGATGGAAGACCAAGCAACTTATCCTATTAAAAAGGACCTATTATTATTTTCTTTATTAGGCACAACTCAATTATACTTTTGACATGCTTAATATTGCAGAATAAACCTTGTTTAGGAATTTGATTTGCGACTTAAATATCCAACATTAATTTGGTAATTAATACCGCATTTATTATTATACTGGAATTCATCATTAAATTAGCACATGTAAATCTTCATAATAATAGAGTAAATATCTGTTGAAAGTATTTTATTTCTCAATGGACCGACCGGTTATTGCAACATTTAGTCCTAACCCATTTAAATATTCATTCAATAATAATAAGAACTACATAGGCAATAGATTGATGGGTCTGACCTAGTATCTTATACACACATGTTCCAAATATCTAGAAGCAAAAATGTTGTGATTAATTGTTAATTGGCTTGTCTACGTTCAGGAAGATATTCAACAATGACATGTTAGCTATAAATCATTTAGTTTATCAGTTTAAATTATGCACAACAAAATAGATAGGATTAGCTAAAAGATTCATTTTAATCAGTTGGTTTTCTGGAAAAAGAAATGATACTGCATTAGAACTTTTTATCATTTCCTCAATCCTTGTTTGGACTATGCTAGGTGGGACTTAATAAGTTAATGATTATTGATTAAGATATTAATCCTTGATTAATTGATTGGGTTCAATACCCTTCTTGTCTAATGTAGTAACTGAAAAGAATTAGAAAAAAAAAAAAAAGAGCAGAAAGCATCATTTGATCGAGGGGTCCCACAGTGACAGATTCTTGGCATCCAACAAATACAGTGTGGTGTGCGGAGCCTTCCATGTGCATCTACGTGTCTTACAGCTACTTATCCACGTGGCAAAATCAGACAAAAGAGTTGTCAATAGGTTCGGTCACCGGTTTTGATCCTATAATGGCTCGAATTTATATTTGCTAAGAGGATAATTAATCATCCATGATTAGAAACTTTCCTTTAATTTAATTTAATGGCAGTAAATTCACAGACAGGAAACGGAGTAATCCAGGTAGGATAGGGCACATGTATTAATTATTAATTGTTTCGGTTGTTTAGACAATAATCTCAGACTCAGACAACCTCCGTTACCTCTTTAACAGGCCGTTAGATAAAGCCCTGTTAGGGTCCCGGTCCCACCTTCGCCGTCTTGGTACCACCAGTATATCGAGAACATCGTTGTTAATCTGGCGAATCGTATTTGCTTGATTCATTAGCTTAAAAAGAAGTGACAGGGAGATCGTGTATGTATTTATGTTGTACTTTGTCCTTACTGTTTTGGAATAATTAAGACATAGAATTAGTTGCTAGCTTCACTATCTAATTTTGCTTTTCCACATTATTATTTTTTTTTTTTTTGATTCCTAAAAGCTATCAACTGGGGACGGAGGAGAAGAAAGAAATTGAAAAAAATTATGATGAGAAGAAAGAAAATCCTGGCTAATTTACTCGCTGTACGTACACCATAAGTATTGCCAACTGTATTAAAACGACAAAAATCGAAGACAACTTTGAACTAATGTAACATACATAAGACGTTAAGACGTTAACTAATCAGGACGATCCGGTTCAACTAATACGAAATTGATTAAGGTTAATAAAAATTTTAAACTTCTCGCGAGTCTCGTGACCTACCGCGGCTTGAGAAATTAATTTTTTTTCAGTTCACTATTAATATTCTTTTTTTAGTATATTTTCACTTGTATTTGAGCATAATAATAATTGATAAAAGAAAAGAAAAAAGGCAAAAAAAGGTAAAAAATGGCAGCCTTTTAAGCCTTTTCTCAACGGACAGTAGTGGGCAAGGAAGGCAACGGGCGGACCTGATAAATGGCGGACTCCAAAATCAGACTTAATTATATTTAAAACAATGTATTGAGGTCCATTTGCTCTATGTTACAATTTCCAAAGACACACTCCCATATAGGTGCGTTGTCTGGGACATAGTGGGAGAGAGAGAGAGAGAGAGAGAGTGTGCGTGTGTGTGAGTAAGGGAGTAAAGCCTAGAGTGAGAGAAGCAGATAAGAAAGCAAGAACAGAATGGGAAGAACCACTTCTTGTTTCAAAATAATCACATGCGGTGGCAATTCAGCTGACAAAGATGATCTTCAAGTTCCTGAGGTATTTGATTTGGTTTACCATGCTCGTTTCGTGTTACTCGATTCTTTTCTTCTTGATGTTCTCTTTCACTTTTGTATGCGAGGTTTCAATTCTTTGTTTGGATTCGCATTTGGCGATCTTAGGTTGAATTTTTTTGATTAACACGTGGATTTGAATTTTGGAAGTTACTTCTAAAATTGTTAGTAATGCCTCGTTTGGAAAGTTAGAAAATGTTGGAAATGGAAAGTAATTTATTAGAGTTTTTGAGATCTGAGAAATTTAATGACAACTCTATGATTTGATGTTTTTAACCTTTTATTAAGAGTAATACAATTGAAGTTCTTTTGGGTCTGATTATGGGACTTGACAAATTTGTATTTTATGATTTGACAATGCGACTGCTATTTTATCGCGGTGTGGAGATGATCTAACTTATGTGTGATAGTAATGCATTAAGATCTGTTATTGTGTAATTATGATGTCTATTATTGGAGAAAAACGATGTAGAGGTTATGAGAATGCTTTGTTTGAAGCATTAGGTCCATCGTTGGTTTGCAATTCTTTCTGTTTTGATCTATTGAAAACTTGTTTGAATTTATCTTATTTAAAGGAAGTAAATCTAGTATTGCTTGGGATTACGATTCACAATGTAGGATCATGTTGCCTTTTCAGCTGCTGCAAGTCTGAAATAGCATTTTCACAAGATCTGTTGATGACTGAAGCTATTGCAAAAGCATTTGTAACGTGAGGTTCATGGAACCTTGGAAGTGAATTCTACGCAACATAATTGCACTTTGCAATTAGCATTTTGATAATTAACTAAGTTGAGGGTTGTGAGTCGTATGACATAAGAGAGATAAAAGCGCAGACCTATTTTACATCATTTCACTCGCACCAGTGGGCTCCTTGCTAAACTGTCAAGGTCTGTCTGATTTAGATTGCATAGGCTAATGGTTTCACTGGTTGATAGCTGTGGATATTGCTAGCATTTTAAATTCACAATAGTTCAAGCATGTAGACTTTATTTATTGCAACTGTTTTAAAAGGTCCTTATGGGAAGTTTGCCTTTTTCTGCCAAACTTGCTAGATTCTACGCCTATACAATTTAGGCAAGTCGTCAAGCCTAATGTTAAAAATTGGAGTAAATGGTGGACTTATTCTATCTTAGCATCAGCCATTAGCATTGAAACTGAATAGAATAGGGATTGTGGTGATCAGAGTTTCAATCTCTCTTTGTCAATTGGATGGTATTAATTGAATTTTGTTTCAGAACAAGAGTTCAAGCGACAAGCGTGGATGGAGTTTCCGGAAGAGATCTGCCCGTCATCGAGTTCTCAGCAACACTGTCATCACGGAAGCCCCTTTTTCTGCAAATAAGGAGAGCTCAGAATCTGCCAGTCTCAACTTCCAATTACCAGATACGACTTCTGTTCCAGAGAAGATCTCTGTGATACAATCTACTGATGAGAAACCTCAGTTGACCTTTGCAGACTCAAAAGAATCTGAGACTATTGTTGTCACTAAGGATGAAAGTGAAGTTGAAGCCCCACTTGAAGAGTCTATTGTTGTAGTCATACAGGCTGCTGTCAGAGGGTTTTTGGTATTGATTTTCTTTTTCCTGAAATGCATCTGTTATTCTGTAGTTTATTGGTTATTAGCAGTCTAACCTTTAGTTTCATCATAATTGTTTTTCAGGCCCAGAGAGAACTCCTCAAGCGAAAGAATTTAGTCAAGTTGCAAGCTGTTGTACGTGGGCACTTGGTCCGGCAGCATGCTGTTGGAACCTTACGATGTGTACAAGCTATTATCAAAATGCAAGCACTTGTCCGTGCTCGCCGTGCTCGTTTGTTGCAAGAGGGGTCATCTACAGAAAAGAAGATAGATGGGAAGCATGAGAAGGCTATTTCAAAGACTTTGGTAATGACACTCAACTTGAATAAGTATGTCCTGACAAAATGGTGCTGGCTACATAACCTCTTTTCTGGTCGAATATTCCAGCTCATATTTGATCTTTGAACATCAATAAGCATGTGTTTGTGCTGCAGCATTTAACCTAAGCAAACAAAGGAAGTTTATGGGTTAAGGTTTTATTGCTATTATGTCATTTTTTCTATTTAGGTACTGAGTGATAGCCTTTCTTCAAGCATTAATTTATCCACAAAATTGCTACCACAGTTGACATTTTCTGCTACAGTAGTACTGCTTTAATGCTTGAGGCATATTTCAAATAGAATTTTAAAGGGTGAGTCTTTCAAATGTAGCTTGAAATGCTAAATCTGTATAAATGTGAGGTTAAGAGTTGAGTCAATTAAGGGGGTTGGGGAACTTCTCTCATTCAATGGCTTCTAGAACAACTACATTTAGAACATATTGTTCTCCTTTTTTCCTGCTCTCTGGACTTTCTTTAGTTTTTGTTTTTCAGTGCCGAAGAAAATTGGCATTTCTTCTGGATTTTTTGTAATAAATGAGTGAATAGAAAAATAAATAAATCCTTCGTGCTCATCACAAACTGTAATGTACTGCTATTTAATTCATTGAAGGCCCTTATCGATCATTATTTTGTTTTTCAGGGGAAGGAAAATTCAGTGAAGAAACCCGATGTAACTTATACTTCCATTGAGAAGCTGCTTAGCAATGGGTTTGCTCGTCAGGTATGGTCAGTGGGTTTCTTTTGTTTTTGGTTCTGTGATGACAGTGAAGGCCACATATCAAATTTTATTTTTTATAATGATACTGATTTTTTGTTTTCAACTAAAGCTAATGGAATCAACACCAAAGTCGAGGCCTATTCACATCAAGTGTGATTCTTCAAAACCAAGTTCTGCTTGGAATTGGTTGGAGAGGTGGATATCCGTTTCATCAGCAGCACCAACACCACAACCAAATTTAAAGACTGAGGAGGTGGAAAGAGAGAATAAGGATGAGAATCTATTTACTGTAGCAGAAACTGCAGTTCCATCTGAAGGTTTTTCTGAGTTAGCAGATTCTAAGTCCAATAAGGAAACAGTTCTACCATCAGAAACTGATGAGAATCAGATAACTTATGATGCAGATGACTCTAAGTTTCAGCAACACCATCCGACCTCTTCTTTATTAGGGGATAATTCAGTTCAGCCCCAGTTCAATACCATTAGTACATCTACATCTGATGCAAAAGAGTCCTCAATAGACATAAAATCTCTTCCAAATCAAAATATGCAATCTAATGAAAATTATCAAATGGAAATTAATTCTCATTTTCATAAGGCAGAAATAGAAGGTGAAGAAACTGATCAACCCAAGCGTTCTATGAAAAGGAATGCCTCTGAACAACTGGAGACTGAAGGAAAGAGGTTTGTATTTGGGTCAAGAAAAATTGGCAATCCTGCATTTATCGCCGTCCAGTCCAAATTCGAGGAGCTAAGTTCAACAGCTAATTCAAATAAATCATTCAGTTTGTCATATCAGGATGGTGCAGTTGAATCGAACATGGACACAATTTCATCTGGTGCAGACACTGTGGTGAGAACAAAGGAGCTCAACCTGGTAGGAAACTCAGTTCCTAATAATTTGAGGGGTCAATGTGGTGACTCTGAATGTGGTACTGAACTTTCTGTTACTTCAACTCTTGATTCACCTGATATATTTGAAGTTGGAGCAACAGAATATGAGCATGAAGCAAAATCTTCAGAGAAAGAAACTTACAACCGTAACAGCACAATAGATGTAGTTGTGGAAGCTAAGGATGTACCTACAGATCCTGTGTCAAATCCGTTTGACTATTTAATGGTTCAGCCTGAGAAACTTGATACTGTGAAAGATGAATCCGTGGATTCAGTTGTAGCTGCAGACTCCTTGCATGTAGAGTTGAAGCCTGAAAGAAGTGCTTCTGATGTCCAAAGAGAACTGTACTCTGAGACAGGTGGTCCTGCATATAGGTCATCCCCAGAAGCTTCTCCAAGAAGCCATATGACTGTTCCAGAATCCCAAGGAACACCTTCTAGTCAGGTTTCCGTGAAACCTAAAAGGAACAGAAGTGACAAGAGTGCTTCCAGCCAAAAACGCAAATCTCTTTCAGCAGGTAAGAGATCTCCATCAAATCCAAATCATGATTCTGGTGCAAGAAGTAGTATGGAACAATTGCCTAAAGATCAAAAGAATGGGAAGAGGCGCAATTCTTTTGGTTCAAGTAGGCCTGATAACACTGATCAAGAAGCTAGAGATAGTAGCAGTAGTAGTTCTCTCCCTCATTTCATGCAAGCAACTGAATCAGCAAGAGCCAAGATCCAGGCAAATAATTCGCCTAGATCAAGCCCAGATGTGCATGACAGAGAGTACATCAAGAAGAGACAGTCTTTACCTGGTTCAAATGGACGGCAGAGTTCTCCCTCCATCCAGCGGTCATTGTCTCAAGCACAGCCTGGTACGAAGGGAAATGGCAGCCATGTAGTTCATGGTATTCTCTAAGCTTCTTTTTTCTCATTTACTGTTAGCATTGGCTCTATATTTGCCTAAACTTTTTACGTTTTAGTCAACAGATGTTCCATTCAGGGCATCATTCAAATTCTTTAGATCTTGAATTTATGCATTATTCATTTGCTGGAATCACTATATGTTGGAAGCTTACACTATATATGCCTTCTTGGATTTAAAAGGCGGTGGATGGATTAGTCTGATTGTCTCCTGTCATTAAAAGATGTCTTGCCTGTTGCTGTTGTTTTTTTTTCCTTGTTTTTTTATTTAATTTTATAAAATAATTAGAATGGTATTAAATGTTGTTGCAATGGTTTTGTTTTGAGATGCAATACTTCACATATTTCTCATCTCTCTTTGTAATCCAATAATGCTTGCATTTCTCTGTCTTGTCTCTTCTCTCTCCTGCTAGAGTCCTCTTTCTACCATTTTCATAACTTTCTTTTTTTTTTTTTTTTTTTTTTTTTTTTTTTTTTTTTTATGGACTATTTAAGTGCGTATTCCTTTGGTCTCATGTAGGAACCAATCTTCGAAATAACTGATGAAAGGAGTGACTATCATGATGAGTATGTGTCAGTGTGATAAGACTTCATTACTTCTCTTTGCATGTTCGAGAAGTTGTATATCTGATAGAGAGATAACATGACTTACTTTGTATGTGTGCAGCTGTGAAGTAGATGAAATGGAGCATGTGACCTCTATAGAGAACATTGAGCTGGGCTTCCTTTTGACATTAATAAGGTCATATCCACCAGAATCGTTATCCTACAGACTATCACAATTAATGCACTGTTACACAGTATCCAATTTGAACAAATCTCCAAGGAATGCATCTCTCTTCTATAAGTCTAACTTGGTTATTCGTGCGATGAGAAAGAGTCCTAAAATAAATGGAATAACAAGATATGTGACACAGAGTGTGCTTTCCAAATGACAAACATACTTTATAATTAAATCAGACCAAGTGAAAAATTCTCTTTCAGCATGTATATAGACAGATGCTTCACGATTCATATTCACACGATTAATATCTATAGATTTTACATTGGATTAAGAACTCAAAAAGAAATAGTAGAGTAATTATGGTAAGCGAATATGCCTAAAAGTAATATCATTTATTTACGTAACATAGAGTGGAAAAGGAGGACGCAGTGAAATTTCTTTTGGTTCATAGTACGAGGTGTCCATGAAGACTCAACTCAATCATCTTAGCATCTAATAGTGAATGCTTGATAGATGCTAGCTAGACTCATTTAATGTTTTACAAGAATGAGTGCTAGTTTTCAGTCTACCTCTTCTATGATTTCAGTGGCGTCAGGTATATGGATCTGAGAATCGGCAGCCTTTTTATTTCGGTACACAGAGCGTGTATCTACAATGCATCTCAGGGCGAAATCGTATTCGCCCTTTAGAGTATACTCATACGCACCAGCATCTTGTGCATGACACGAGAGTAAACAATCACGAGTAAGGAAGTAGGACATAGGTGACATGTTTTTGTACCCTAGAGCGTGCTCTACAAGTGAGTTTTGAGATGTAGAACTAGAGCAGCAGATGTTCTCCTCTCTCTCACCAATGCGTGCAGACTTTTCGTCAATTGGTACTCACGCAACAAGCGAGCTCGTGGTACGAAGCGAAATTGGCAGCTCCATATGATTACAAGTTTATAGCCTCTCAAAGAGAAATGAGGTAGAGGATAATTTCTGCGTGAGAGTCTTTCTGTGTTCTACCAAATTTGACTTGTTACATTGGACTCTATAGCTATTTGCCCCTCTATAACAAACTTTTACCGTTTTGATGGTTACAACCACAGTGATATGGTTCTCATTTACAGTGTTGCGTCTATCACATCAAAGTATCTTTGAGCATAACTTACAATATGGTAAGACTTGGATATTATTTGCCATACATATGCTGGATAATCTTTATTACGATTAGTGATATTAGTTGAAGGCTAGAGGTAACATACTTAGACAACATTTTTAATTGATTACTCCGTTATTATAGCCTATCTTTGAGCTGAGTTTTTTTATACAAGGCATGGAGTAGGGGATATTGTGGACTTTAACCTCGAATATTGTCTCACATGTATTTTTAGAAAAGTATTGTTAATCGAATTTACTCGTCTCTTGCTGCATGAGTTGGCGGTTTTATTTCTTATCCGTGGTGCATTTTTTTTATACTCTATTATAGAATTGATTAAAGGATAAATACTAAGAATCCTAGGCTATATACCTGATGTGTGTATGAGTGAGAGCTCTCTCAATATCAAAATGGAGCTATTTTAAGAATTGTGAGTAATCAGTATAGTATAGCTCCCTTAACATTGACAACTATTATTCATATCACAAATAACCATCTTTTGTGTATTATACCCTTCATAATGAGATGGCGTCTTCCATCTCTCATCCTCTTGCTTTATGGTACTCTAGACTAACATCAGTGTCTTTGCCTGCTTCGAGGACATTACCGCGTCATTTTCTATCTGCTATTTCATTTGAACTTTCTTTATTTTTTTTTTTTTTCTTTCTTTTATATATATTTATTATTTTTTACTAAAATTCTCTACTTTGCTTAATTAAGACGTCAATTAGGCTAGTCATTCTTCATATGGGATGTGTAGTGTCCATAAATCTCATGAATCAATGTCGTATTGCTTCTAGGGAATCCCTCATAAGTGAAAGAGATAATATTTACGCTGTATGAGGCTGGTATGGTGTGAAAATATGATAAGAAGTTTACGAATATGTGTTGATAACTAGGAACATTGTGTTACAGAATTCTGCGGAATAGCTCGTAAAAGTTGCTTCTGATGTGAAAATATCTTTGTCTGGTCTAGTGTTCCTCATTGTAAAATTAAAAAATAGAGACGCAAACGTCAGGATGTTACATCTTCCGGGGATCTGGTTCTGCGTTAAATGAAATTTTGATTTGTTCTTGTTTAGGCGCATATGCAAAATATGTGATGAGTAATCCTCTTTTCAGCACATAAGAAAAGTAGCATCGTTACACAGTTTTGATTTCGTTCAGGTTTGAAAAAATGAACGAGACAGTTATCTTGCTCAGAATCTGTTATCAGAACATCCTTTACGTAGACCAGATGTTTGCAATTATACTATTCTCCTTCCATTTATTTAGAGCAATAATTTTTCCGATGTCTATTTGTGTTGCGTGTATACGCGTCCGGCGTTTTCTTTCATTGTTTGGGATGGATATAACACACATATTTTTAATATTATTTTAGAGTTCTAGAACCTATGAATTCTTTTTATAAGGTTATCTATGCGTATAAGTATAAGTGTAAATACTTCTCAGCGATAACTACAATACACTAAATTGAAAGTATTTAAGTTATAATATCTTATATACATTTTCTCTCTCTTTGCGGTTCCAGTGTCATGGTGTTGAGTAATGAATTGGTATGCAGATATTGGCACTGGGTAAACTTTTTTTTTTTTTTTTTTTTTTTTTTTTTTTTTTTTTCTATCTATAACATCAATTAGGTGTTCTTGGTGTAGTCCAAATTCATGGAAATGTGACGTTTGCTAGGAAACCTAGGACAGCTTAGTGTTGGGTGGAAAAGAAAAACTTTTTATGACTGTGTTTTGGATACTGAAGTGCTTGAATTATGCTTGTTCCAGAGAAAAAATGGCAGAGGTGAATCGAATTCCAAGTTGATTGCGTGCAAGATGATGGTCCTTCACCAGAAAGAGAAAACTCGATTGTTGATCCACTGACAGGTTTTCTTCACCTCCATTGCATTTTAGTCAGGTGGTTGACCTCCGGAGTTCGATGGGTAACTATATATATATAGAACTTGTATAAGGTTTTCTTGTATATTATCAGTATCTACCTAAAGAAGTTTATATATTTTTCTTCTTGTCTGTGTTGGAGATATGGCTGGGTGCTTGTTGAATATCGTTTTGTGTGATTTATTGAGGCTTTTTAAACGTGTCTGTTTAGAGTTATATGTCTGGAATTTAGACGGTAACTCTGGAATGGAAAGCTTCAATATGTTGCCTCTGGTTTTGCTAATAAATTCTTTATTTCCTTCTGTTGCTTCCAACCTTCCAGTCTGCAGCGCTTGTGCTGCTGATAGGGACAAAGGTTTAAATGAGCATGGATTTAATTTTAACTATTTATTTTATTAACGTACCATGTGACATAAAATTATTAGTTATACCATTATTTAAGTTGTTAAAATTAAAATTAAACGACTCAAATCGATTTCAATTGGAATGTGAAACCTCACCTGCGGTAAGAAATGTATAATTCAAGAGCCAACTTTGGGCTTTTCAGCGTTTTACGGGTGGCTAAGAGCCCAAGTATCATACACGATCCGTCGTTGGCTTTCACAGTCGCAAATTCTTGGCATATTATTTTTAATTTGGAATAATACTCATTTTGAAACTGAATTTAAAAGTAATATTTAATTTATCTAAAAATCAAAATTTGTACACAATTTTCTCCCTTGAACTTGCACAAATGATAAACAAAACCTTATTTTTAACAAAAATAAAATAAAACAATATTTATAATAAGATTTATCAGTTAAAAATATTAAAAGTTATTTATTTTATTTTGTTTTTGATAAAACTTGGATGTTTCATCATTTAGTATAAGTTAGGAGGCCCAAATATGCATTCTCCCTTTTAATTTTTAAGATCTACTTTCCTCGTAAGGGAAAAAAAATTATAAATTATATTTTTCAATAGTTAGTGAATTTTTTTTCTTGGAATATATAATTAATATATTTACATCATAAAATTCAAATTGAACAAAAACTTAAAATTGCCATGAAATTAAGTAATTAATAAAAAGGTTTATAGGTGATTTGAATTTTCCTATAAAAGTTATACGTGGCAAAGTTCATGACCATATGACTGTGCAGATGTTGACCAGACCACAACTTAGCTTTTTTTTTCCATCAGCATACTGTCCTTTCATCGTTCAACTCAAAAAATAGGAAGGGAAAGAAAATAGAAAAAAGAAAAAAACTGCGGTCAGAATCTGAACTCTTAAAAAAAGGTCACTTAAGCTCCATCCGCAGTTAAAGCGCGTGTCAACAAAACCCCAAAAGCCAAACCGTTAATAAAGCCCAACTGCCATCTGGGCTTCAATAGCGAATATGTCATGTATAACTGTCTACTTCCTCCACGCGCTACTGCCGTACGTGCGACACTGCCACAGCACAGAACAGATATATAGAAGAGAAAGGTAAAATGGGAAACGGAAGCACATCAAAACGGCAAAGCAAACAAGACCAGAGGATCTAGGGTTCCCTTGGATCTCTCTGCGATATCAGTATATTGATTTTACTCTCTTTATCCCTCGTCGCCTAGAATTTTCTATTTCGATCGTGTCTGAATTTTGCACATTTAGGGGTTTTCAAAATGGGTAAGTCGATTTTGTAAAGGTATTTGAAACAGTTCAAATCTAGCTTTAGGGTTTCGACTATTGGGAATAGAGTTATATGTTCAAATCGAAACCTATTTATCGGTCCATTGACACATTAAACAGAAATTAGAAATTGGGGAATCGAAGCAAGGGGAAAAGGGAGAGTTTTGAGAGTGCATTTGTTGATCTGTTAATATGCGGGGATTGCAGAAATCAAAAAGAGTTTCTTGGGCATCAGATGTTAATCTTTGTCAGGTAAAAGTGCCAATCTTCCAAAGGAAAATTTATAGATTTTTGACTAAATTTCAGAATTTCGACAAGTGTTTATATTTATCATTCCATTTACCGGACAAGCTAAACAGACTCGGGCGTGAAACCTAATTGTTATGCTCTTTATAGATAATTTTTTTTTTAATTTTTTTTATTCATATCATTTTAACACCTGTTTGAAAAATGGGGATGTCATTTGCTCTCCTTGTGTGTACAGGTCTTTATACTTTATACTTGACTACTGTAATGGGATTTGCGAGTGGTTCTAGTTAATCAGATAATGTTAAGTCTGAATGATGATAATGGACTTGCCATGCATTTCTATATTGAAAAGGAACTTTTAATTGATAAGAGAAAATGATTTCTTATAAATTGTATTGCACGTCATTTGAATTCTCAAGCTTCGGGCTTGTCTTGCTAATCAAGTACCATAATGAAAAATTGAAGACAGAAGGTCCTCGTTTTTTAATTTAAATTGCTACCTTTTACTCATTGCTCTGTAATAATATTCAAGATGATTTCTAGTTGGTGCTGAAAGTTTCAATTTTTTTTAACTGTAAAACAATGTTTGATTTGAGAGGCATTCTTAAATTAAAAAAAAAAAATGAAATTGATTCTCAAATTTAAGTTTAGAAATAACTGTATTGAAGGTGAACTCGTTGTGCTATGAGCTTTCTTCTAATTACAAGATAGTAATGCTTTGACATACAAATGCACACACACACACACACACATTAATTTAAGTAGAGGTTTGGTTTCCACTTCTCTTAAGCTGTCATTTCTTTTGCCTGAGAATTGGAAATTCAGATTCTAATGAAGCTATGTCAAAATAGAATTATTACGATAATGTCCAAGGTAGTTCAATATGTTGCTAAACCTGAATAGAACACTTTTAATTTTCATTGTCATTTTTGAGTCATTTATAAGATGATACCATCACAACCTGGTTCCTTATAGTAGCTCCTCCTATGAAATGATTTTCACAGATGTTGGGGAATATTACTAACCTGTGGATCAAAAGTCGTGGACATAAGAGAAGATGTATGGCATTTCAGTGTTGGCATTTTTGGATTTTTTAGCATAGACTTTAATTATTTGGTTTGCATAAAAAGAATAGGTGGAAATAAGACAGCAACAATTTGTATGTGGATATGTATGAAAGGAGCATTTCTGTATGCTAATTGCCAAAACATTTCTGACTGAGTCGGACCTGTGATGAAGACCTAAGGATAGCAGGAAACAATGAGATAAGAACTGATGTATTGAAGAAGTTTGAGGCTGCATGAATTAAGGAATAGTTGCATAGTGGTGATGTGAAATGTGAATAGTTTTTAAATAAAAATTGTAAGCAAAAAGATCGTTGTGAAGTTGATACCAAGTTATGAAAATAAGGAGCCTGTTGCTTCAATGCATAGTTAAAATTTAAGAATATGCCAATTTATTTCCTGCAGGAATTGAATGGATAAAGAATTTTTCAAATTCTAAGAATAGCAAGGGAAATTATTTTTTACTAGTTCAATCATAGAATTTGCATTTTATGGTTGGAAATATGCTCCAAATGATAAGGTACTTTTGATCAATTTAGTGTGGATTTTGGAGTTTCCATTGGAAATGATTGTACGGCATCAGTTAAGATTTCAAAAATGCAGGCCCTTTAATTATGATCTGTTATTTTCATGTGAAACTCCCTCTAAGTTTATAATTAATTTATCCATTTGCTTGATCTCTTTTGTGTAATAGCAATCTTCTCTTAGACATTTTTTTGTGTGAGTGGAGGTTTTGAAGATTCTATTTCGTTGTCCAATCTTAATCTGCTTGAAAGGTTTCTGAGCACCATTTTAAACATTTGTTATGAACAATTGCCCAATGCTTTGTTATTTAAGATTACCCTGGGTGATGTCTTTTCATATTGTTCTAGTCAGATTCTCTTAATTTTGTAGTTTTAAGTTAACTTAGTAGGGGGTGGGGTAATGCAGTAGCGAACTGGTACTAAGTCACAATTTGGGCAGAACAATGAGACATCTTACAATAATTAGCTTAGAGACATTGTTGTGCAGATCTGCCTGGGGCAGCCTTATTTTTTCACAAAAGCTTTTATCATTATGATGTGCCATTTGGGTTGTTGATGTCTTAAGCATTTGCTCTTTCATCTGAAGCTTAAAGCAATAGATAAAGAACTTAACGTTGATTTTCATGCAGAAATTTTTGTTAATCACTTGGTTTACATATAGAAAAAAAAAAGAATGCATTACTTTGAGGTTCCTCTTGAAATACTTCAAATATCTTTAATTTTTGCTTTTTTCCAATTAGATCTAAAAGTGTATGTGTAGTCAGCATGCTAAGTGGAACAGTGTTTTGCATGTTGCTGTTAGAATTTTGTTGGCAGGGTTGGCAACAGAATTTCTTTTTGCTTGTCTATGTTATGGACTCTGTTCTGGTTTCTTGCTTGATAGTTCCTAGGAAGTCTTCATTAGATGCCTGATCTGGATTCATGTGTTGTTGATTTAATAGTTTCAGTAGTAGAAACACTGCTATATATTGTTTTATTTAAGTAATGTGTTTATTATCAGTGTTATGATATACCCCATTTTAGTGACCTATTATTTTGCAAGACAAATTAGACAACATATTTGCATACATGCATGTTAGCGCATAGAAGTTTGAATAACAAGATGGTCTTACATTTCTTTATTTCTTCTGCAAAAGTGATTTTATACCCATGCTAGAGGAAGTCATGCAATGTTTATATACCCCAATTATGGCTTGCTTCTGAACATTTCTGCCTCAATATTAAGGAGTCTCTTATTATGTTTTGTGTCTCAATGCTAAGTTGTATGCTGCTTATGCAATTTACTCCCTATAGGACAAAAAGTTGGCCAGTCTCTGGTTATTGAACATATTCTAGTATATGTATTTAGCTTTCAGATGAAATCTCGTGTCATAACTTAGTTAATTTTTTGTTTTCGAAATATATGTAGATAGACATCTAAAATACACCTTGAGATGGTAATCCTAGTTTTCTAATTAGCTTGTGAGCGCATAGATCAGAATGGACGTAGATAAAATTTTGTGAATTCATGTTATTCAAGCTGATAAATTTGCATTATTAGTTTTTATTTTTCTGGTTTCTTTGGTAGCCATCATGTTTTCCCATTTTACTATCAAGTAGTTCCTTTTCAGATATGAACACAACATTAATATGGGTCAAAGATAAATATCTGAATATTTTATGTGAAGTTATATTTACACTAACATTTCTCTGTATTTGATATCCCTTTTCATTTCTGTATTTGCTTTCCATTTTGAATTGTGACAAGGATATTAATCGTGTTTAGGGTTTTATTCTATTTATGATTGTAAGTCTGAAATCTGAGTAATTGATTCCTGCTGCTTTTTACAGGTACGGCTGTTCCTGTCAGAGGAATCTCCTTCGCAAGTTGGTCTTGGTGCACAAGATCACCTCCAAGCAAAAGCATCATGGCTTTCGCATCCAGCTGGCATAGCTGCTGATGATATTCTGCCTCCTGGCTTTGAGGGAGGCCAACCTGCCAACCAATTGCATATTAAGTTGTCTGACATTCCTGTAATTAAATGGAAATGTCCTCCCAGGGTTAGTAACTAGGTTTTGGTTTTAGCTTTTAAGGTTTCCTTTGGTTTTCAATTTTGAATTTTTTATTATGGCACTGAAGTAGGGTATTGCAGTTTGTTTTGGACTTGACCTGGCAAGTGGTTGCGGGAGAAGAAAGCAAAGAGGTGGAGGTTCATAATCAGAGAGAGATGAGAGTGCTTGAAGCAGTTTATCCTCGTCCATCTGCCATTCCTCCAAAGTTTGATTCTTCTCCTTTTCTTTTTGTAAGTTTCTTTTGTTTTTTACTTGAACTCAAATTATTTTTGTCTATGCAGTCCGGCTTTCAGTGCAGAACTAGAAGACTTAAGACTCAATGATCATCAAGTTCCTCTGATTCCAATTACTCCCATTGAAGATGAAGATGCAGTAGATGCACCTTCTGAGTTTAGGGGACCGTATAATGCTCCTGTGAGCTCACAGTCCCAACTATTGGCTTCTGGAATTCTGCCACCTCAATACAGTATTCCTGCCATTTCAAATACTCCTGTTAATGAGAAACCTGCTGCTGGAGCACTCCTTGGCGTTGAACCAGATGTAATAGCTGCTGCATCTGCTGCCTTTGCTGCCATTAATAAAAGCAATGATCAAGGAAGTTTGATAGACCGTGATCTGCTCGTCAAAATTCTCAACAACCCAAGATTGATTGAGAAGTTGGCTCAAGATTATGGAGCTGCCTCCAATGTGCAGAACACACCAAAGCCAACCGCATCTTTTGTCCCTTCACCAGAGAGCAATATACCTTCATCTTTTACCACTACTTCAAGTGGACCCTTTTATGCTCAGGCTAATGGGGTCGGACTGGGATATATTCCTAATGCACCGGTTCCTCCAGCAGCAGTTCCAGCTTCATCTGTACCTTGTGTTGGAGTTTCACAGGTGAAGGATGTGAATTACTATAAGAACTTGATCCAGCAACATGGAGGAGAAAGACAAGAAACCCCTCATCAATACAGTAGCCGTTACAGTCATCAAATAGGATCGAACCCAGAATTAGTTAATCCCAAATCAAGGGATGCAAAGCCTAAGATTATGAAGCCTTGTATTTATTTTAATAGTTCAAGAGGATGTCGTCATGGAGCCAATTGTGCATACCAGCACGACACGTCATCCCCGCAACGGAGCAGTAGCATACCAGAGGTGCAAAATGCTAAGAGAATGAAGATGGATAGGGAAATTAGCAGTTAGTTTTTGCTGCTTGAATGTAGCCTTTTTTTTTTTTTTTTTTTTTAATTAGATCAAAAGGCATATTTGCATCTCAGCATTTTTATTTAATTCTCTGGCTTGGTTTTGCTACAAATTATTCCCTCTACTTTTGAACGTCATTAAATTATAGGCAGAGAGAAGCCTTCATATTCCTAATCAATTGCAAATTTCCATTGTTGAGATAGCATTTTCTTTTCCCCCTCCATTTCCACATCTAATGCTTTATTTGTGTTTGCTCCTTGTGACGATGGCAACTTTCTCAGGCGATTAAGGGTGATTAATTTAATTTTAAAAAAACAAAAACAGCGGAAATAATCTATAATTTAATTGGGTTAAGCTAAATGGGCTGGGCCATCTACAAGTCTTCTGACAGAAAAAAACTTGGCAAAAACAGGGCCCATCTAAAACTCTACATCGTACCGGAGATGTTGTGGTGGAATAATAAATACCTAGTCCGACCAGACCGGCGAGGTGGCGTTTAAAACTGTGCTACGAAATCTCGGTTATTAATCAAACAAAATTGGGGGGCAGCAAAGAGCACCAAGATGTTGAAGTTCCTGTCAAAGGTACGGATTGAGTTCAATGCGTTGGACCCTCGCATAGCTTCTTGCATGGAGTTCTTAGCTCAATGCAACGCCCGCAAGGCCAAAGAATCGAACCCGGCTTGCCAGGTCTTAGTCAAGCGGCGAACCGATGACCACCCGCCGCAAATCACTGTCACTTTCGTTAACGGAGTCGAGGAGGTTTTTGACGGTACTAAGATTCCTGCTCAGACCATTAGGACCATGATTTTGGAGAAGGGTCAGCTCCTCGAGACGGAGCAAATGTTCCGTGAAGCTGGTGAGAAGTGGCCTGTCATCATACCGGAGGAAGAGCTCCACATGCCTGCTCCTGGTACCAAGGTTAGAATCACCTTTGTTCTTTTCCTTCTTGAAAGCAATTTGATTGGTCTTTGCTTTGTGCTTTATTTCGACTGGGCATTTCGCGAACAATTTGTGTGCTTTGGATGGAGTGGTGGACATCGAGTCTATTTTGGGTTTCTTAATGCTTGCGTTTTAGTAAAACTATTTGGAACTTATTCCTACCTGTATATTGGTTATCTTGTTTGTCTTTTTATTCGAGTCCTTTACACATTGCAAAGAAGAGATTATTCTTTTATGAATAAAACCCAAATGGGTTTAGTCTTCAATCCTCCGATATCTTTACTCTATTCCCCTTTTCTTGTTCTATATTTGCACTTGATGCAACTCTTATAATCTTCGTTTTTCCATTTTCAAATATGTTAATGGCATATTATGTTGACATTGGTAACTGTTGTTTTTACCTCTACATGTTGGTTACCAATTACTTACACTGCCTATGACAGACATTTGAATGCTACCATTTATCACCAGCAATTATTATTTTTGCTTGTTTTATAAGCTTAGACCTTTTGAATGTATTAAAATGTTGGTTGATAATTATTTCCCAAAATCAAGTTTAAAGGACAGATTGAACAAGAAAAGGGTTGAAGAACAAGCTGGAGGCCAATATTTAAGTAGAAAATTCTGTGCGAGGAAGTATATTATTTTTATTTATCAAACATTGCAAGAGTTAGTCGGAGATGCATTTCCTATCATATATCTGGATTTTTCAGAGCAGAAAGTTAAGTGTTCAAGTGCATCATTCAAGATTTCCATATCTATTGCCATCCCAACTCCCAGCTCATTGCATTCTGACCAAACTGCTGCTCTTGTGGTTTGATGAAACAGTATTTTGTTTCAATGGTTCACAAAAGCTGCTGCTCACTGATTATGCTTTTCTAGTCTATTAATTTATGTTATTTTGTATATTCTCATGTTGCCATTTACCTCTCTTTGACCATCTACGTTCTTTCCTTTCTTGTATTTATTTATTTTCCCTTTTCTCCACCGATCCCAGCCAAGGAAGGCAGAAGAGAAGAAGCAATGAGACCATATACACTCTGTTTTACATGTTGGGTGAGGCAACTGTCTGATGTCCATCTGTGCGACAGTGTCTATGGAACCAAATTTTAGCGAGTCATGCAAAAAATAAAGAACACATCATTTTTTTGAACTGTATTAATGTTGCTAGCAAAATATATTTTGATTCCATATTTAAGTGTTGATCGTGCCAGGAAAATCCTCTGAAATGAGTTAAGTGTGTTTTATGAATGTATTCTTCTTAGTTCTTAGAGCTGCTCTTATGATTAGGCTCTTTTGTACTGTCTTGACATTGTTTCCTCTTTCCTTCAAGGTTGCTGAGGTGTTATGTTTCATTTTAAAAGACAGAATAGAGATGCAATTTTAGAGCCAAAGAATATATTTTCTATATTGTCTATTCGAGGCTCGTTTTGTATCTGAGCCATATGAGAATGAATATGGTGGAAATTAGAGGGGACTCGGACGCTTGGTTTATCAATTTGTAGTAATAACCTAGGACATTGGCCATATCTGATGTCCTGAGCCCCAGTATTCTCCATCTCACATGCCTGGTTCTCCGGGGGATGCATGAACAGTCTGTGACGGGTCATTGTGATGTTCAGGTTGAGGTCTTATGCCTTTGTTCATAATAAGGAATTTGGCGAATCATATGTAAACGCGTGTTTATCTATTGACATGTTTCAATAAATCAAGCGCCTGAACTTGATTTCCAATTATCACGTTTTGCAGCTTAAAGTCTTGCGTTTGGCTACAAAGCATCAGAAAAAGTGCTACACTAGGCTTTAATACGAGACAAATAACAGAATTTTATGTTTCACATGCCAATCAACTGGTATATTTGATCAATGTCAATTATTTTAAATTTACAGCTGGATTTTTACAAGGTTAAAATGTAACTAGGCATAACTCTTTTCTAGAAGAACATACAGTAGTAATTGCCTAGTCTGGCCTTTCTCTTCCACCATGAAACCTACCAAATTGCAAAACCATCTCACACGAGTTTATTTAGCGATCTTCCCTTCTTACTGCATTGGGGTCAGACATCATATCCATCATCATCTTCTCAGGGGAATCTTCCCAGCTTGCAAAAGTTTTTAAGTCAACCTGCCAAAAAGACGACCATAAGATCTCATTTAAGACTGGCATAAGAATGGTCTAATTGAACTTGGTAGGTCACCTTGCGTCTTTGTTCAATGAAAAGATCCTCTCTCTTCTTATATGAAGCTTGGACTTCCTTTGCCGTCCTCCCGCCCAATCCCCAAACTTCAACTTCTGAAATCAAAGCTTCAACAGGGAGAAAACCCTGCAGTACAGGTTCATTTACGGAAGTCAACTTGTGAAACTATTTGAGTGTTGGTTTGGACCTTCTAGGCCACACGGTAGAAAGAGGCCAAATTTATCCAACTCTTACTCCTATTCCTACACTATCCTATATGATATCTGACTTTGATAATATCTCCACAGGGATGATTGACAATATTTCAGGTATGAGAAATTCTTTCACTATGAAGCTCGCATAACTCGTCAAGTGCAAAATATAAAAATAAACTAAGGGATACAATGACCAAGAGATATTTTGAAATGATTAGTACTTACCAATGCTGTATATGGATCAAAGAGAAGTAAACTTAAACAGAAAAAGGACAGTTTACTTGTACAGTCATATGATATTATCAACAAACATTCAAGTATTGGCAATTGAGATATTAAAATAAAATGATAATGTTGGATCCCTGATTATTTTGATTAAGCCCTACTACTTATACCTGAGATGGGAAAATGGAACCTGGTTGGTAAGTTTTGTCAACTGCATGATGGCGAACAGTAACTCTTGCAAAGTCTTCATCAATAAATATTCTTTCATTCCCAATGGTTCCTCCAAATGCAATTCCCACAGGCTTAGGATGTGGTTCATAAGCTCGGCGAGTAGGATGCAAATGGCTGTAAACGAAGTTCTTATCTTTACCTGCGATGATGTTAAAAATCAGTCAGTTCCTTTTTCAAAATCCATGAAAATGGAAGCATTTCTCATGACTTTTCTTTAGTTTGACCTATCAACCACATTTCCTCCTCCCTTTTTCCTGAAGGCAGAAAACTGCCTGGGATTTTTTTTTTCCTTGGGGTGGGAGGAGGGTGCCGAGCAGGCAAGCACACACACACACACACACACACCAGGTTTCTCTTTCTCTCTCTCTCTTATTCTTATGACATACCAGAATGTGAAAACGTATGGAAGATTGGACATATAGCATATAGTTTTCCAGAGGATCCGTAGAACATATCCTTATTTTCAAAACCCTGCTGTGTAAGTGCACCTATGATCCATTTTCTGACATTGGTATTATCTTCGTGGGCATTGCCAGAAGTAGCAGAAACCAAAAATAACAGCGGACCATGATAACCTTCAATGTTAGACCAGAATCTGTTCAATCCCCTCCCGTGAAGAGATAACCTAGACAGCAGAAGAAAAAAATTGCTTTGCAGTTCATAGCGTAGTAAGCAAATCAATAACTAAGATAACCATAGGGAGATTCACATTTCCACACAATCTGGATATGGAAGATTGTACACAATTCCCATAATAAGCAGCTTAAAGTCTTACAACCAAATTATTAAATTCAATTTAGGTACATCAACTATTCATATAGACTTGAGCAATTCTCACAAGCATAGTGCCAAGCAGCAAAAAGAACGGGTAGGTTGCTTATGAAAAGATGAAAAGGGTAAGCTAACAAACCGGTAAAGAAGATTTTCATACGTTCCATCACCATCGCTGGGTAAGTATGGTTTCAAAATTTCTGAACTCATTTCACTCCAGAGAGTAAGAGAAATTGCCCATGCTCTTCCACAAGTTAGTAGATGATTACCACTTGGCTCTCTTGGTGGTGTTGCTCCCTGTGATGAAGTTGAAGGTTCCAACTTATCGTGCTATTGATCATGAAAAAAAAAAGCATATGATATATGATCTTATACAACTAGATACAACAATGGAAGTAATTCATCATGCTTAGTAGAGGCTGTAACGATAATCTGAGAAAGAAAAAATTCATTTGGTAGCAACTCATCTGGTCTAGAATAGGGACTTGAAAAATAGACTATGGAATGATCATGCAGAATATAACTAGAAAAGTAGCAAGGACAACATGGAACAGACCAAATTATATAAGAAAATTTAATTTCTAGATCACCAGATTCTAAAAAAAATTTGATAGCATGTGGGAAAAGGAAAATCCCACTGCCAAGCAGAAAATTTATGTGCTCCAAGAAGCATGTATTGCATGCAGAGAAGCTAAGCATGTAAACCCTTAAAGATAGGATATCAAGAGGCTAGATTCCAAGATCAGAATGCTAGACCATACATGACCTAATAAAAAGAATGGGGAGGCCAAAAAGAAAGCCAAAGCATGAATTGATTAATTAGAATTACTCTCTTCATAAGATAGTAGACAAAGCACTCACCATCCCATGTTCTGCACTGGAGTATTATTATATCTCTAGTTCGATATGTTATGCAAGAACAAAAAATATAATCTTTGCACAAACATTCAAACTAATTTAGCAAGATTATCAAATCATAAATGTCAAGAGCTTTATTGGACTTGCATACCTCTGAAGAAACTGAATTTTGAAGTCTCTTATTGATAAAATGTGTGAAGCAATCAGTCAGGCTGGGTACAGTTGTCAAGGCCCAAGTAAGAAACTTCCCAACGGGAAGTTGAACGTCCAAGACTGATATGTCACAATCCCATACATCCAAGCTACTGTCAACTTCGGCACAAGACATAACTGCTGACAATATCAAGTGACTAATATCAGGGAGGCATAGATTTTCTTTTCCTTTGATAAATCTTGAAGTTTTGGAATCCCATAACATAGTCCAACACATCCAGAGAAGCATAAGAACATCGGTAGCAAGAAGAGACCCACTAATCTTACAATCGTCGTCGTTGGATTCGAACTCCAGTTTCAAAGGAAGTCCAGCTTTTGCATAGGTTGTGGCAAATACTCGCAACAAGTTATTGAGGGCCATTGAGGCAGGCATCATCCCGCAAAATTTCAAATAACCTCTCAAAAACTCGATCCAATTGAGACCACCTTTGTCAGAGATGAAAAGTAGGTCCACTATCGATGAACCCAGATGATCCAGTAATACCAGAAAGGAATCAGGCATTTTGGTTGCTTCACAGTCTGGATTTTTATAATTTAAAAAGAAACATTGCTGATCAAATTAAAAATCACATATCAGAAACCAGCAAATAAAAATAAATTTACTTCTCTGTTCAATTGAACCAATCTGGTTCAGTAACTTCTTTATAGAAATACTAACAAAAAATGACAATACAAGCAAAGGCAACAGCTTTTTGCTGTAGAGACTGGCCAAGTGTTTCAAATACCTGAAGGGACTGGAGAGGAACAACATTTTTTTGAGGATCGGCAAGCTTAGAAAAAGAATTTTGAAGCATTGGCATTGCTCCGGTGGACGCAGCAAGACTTTCCACCTCTCGCTGTTCTCTCGTAACATTCTGCTCTATCGAAGATGATGCTCCCATTGTCGCTACTACCTACTTTCTTGCAAATTGATTAGAGGTTTTCCCCCGCCAAAAACGAAAAAGAAACTTTAGTTGATTTGCAGGTGATGCTCGCTCCTCGTGTTTGTTTCCCGAGAAGATTCCACAGACCTTTTGAGTTTTGCCTCTATATTTTACGTGTCACCAGGCATGTGATCCACCCGACAGATAACGATGACCGCGCTTATAGAAACGCACCGTTTATGTTTCTTTTGATGATTAGGAGAGAGACTTGAATGGGCCTTTGACAGCCCAGTCCATTAACAATGACCCGGGTCCAAATAGAAGTAGAAGTGCATTGCAAAGATCAAAAGAATCAGAAGACAGAAATCTCCCAACCATAGCATATCATTATCAGGGTTTTCGTAGAGAGTCGTTGTGATCAGATCTTTTCAGCCAATAGAATGGCGACACCTCCAGGTCCTTACTCCGGTATCAGCACTCTCGCTCTGGTAATTATACTTCTCCTCAATATCTGCAATCTGAATCCCTGTTCTCGTTGATTTCCAATTTTTTTTTTTTTTTTTTTTTTTCAAACCATAGCATGATCATTATCAGGGATATTTCGGTAAGAGAGTCGTTGTGATCAGAATCAGTTCAAGCGCTAATAGAAGTTGGCGGACGAGTCCTGAGATTCGCATGTCCTTACTCCGGTTCAAGCACTCTTCGCTCTGGTTGTAAATTATGACTTCTCCACTCAATATCGTGCCAAATCTGAATCCCTGTTTCGTTGATTTCCAAATTTGTTTGTTTTTTTTTTTTGTTTTTGGTTTGTATGTCTGGCCAGAGGTTTGCCTCGGCGCATGCAAGCAATTCAGTTTTTCGGTCCTGGAGTTTATGGAAGTGTGAAGGCGGAAAGTTTCTCAAGGTCAATTTCTGATCGTATGATTATTTAAGAAACGAGTGTCTTTTCTTATTTTTTTTTTTTTGTTATTTTTTCCTTATCAAGGTGTGAAGGCCGATCTAAATTGTTTGTCTCTTTCTTTTAAACCAGTTAGATTAATATTGGACGTTAGATATTTACAAAATCCTAAGGACATAACTTCTACAACCGCTCTATGTAGCAGGAATAGGCTTATTACAGGTGTGGAAATTGGATTCTCCCTGATATGAATACTGGAGTAATGTACATATTGAAGTCCATTTTAACCGTGAATCTATCAATATGGTTGATCATTATCAGAAACAACACTCTTTGGCCCTTATTCTTTCAAGTGCTAGGCTTGAAATGGTTTTTCTGTGTTAGATAGAATAGATGGTAGTTTACTAGCCATAGCTGATTTGTAACTGATCTCAAGTGAATTTGTGTAGAGAAACATGGTGCAGCTGCACAATTGGAAATGTACTTGCTGCCGAACTAACTAGCCTAATATATCGATCTTCCGAGCACTATAAAAAGTCGGTTTACTAGATATAGCGAGCTTGTCTCTTTTCGATATTTTTCCTTTTCTTTCTGCTGATTTTTTTTTTTTTTTTGTTATTTTCCTTATCAAGTGTGAGCCAGATCTAATTGTTTGTTCTTTTAACCAGTTAGATTAATATTGGACGTTATATCTTAAAATCTAAGGACATAACTTCTACAACCCTATGTAGACAGGAATAGGCTTAATACAGGTGTGGAAAATTGGATTCTCTGATATGAATATGGAGTAATGTACTATATTGAGTCATTTTACCTGAATCTATCAATATGGTGATCATTCAAAACAACCTCTTTGGCCCTTATTTTTTCAGTGCTAGGCTAAATTGGTTTTTTGTTAATAGATAGAATGGTAGTTTACTAGCCATAGCTGATTGTAACTGATTCTCAAAGTAATTTGTTAAAGAAACATGGTGCAGCTGCAAATTGGAGAATGTACTTGCTCGAACTACTGCTAATATAATCTTCCGAGCACTATAATAAGTCAGGTTTACAGATTGCAGGCTTTTTTATTTTTCCTTTTCTTTCTCTGACTGCCTTTCTTTTATGGGAATTGCAAGCCATGTTCTGTTAGTAGTTTAATTCATCATAAAAGAGGATGATGCCATTAATGACAGTATGACACAATAGTGATGAGAGGACATTATTATTTGTGTTTTGTTTGAGCTGATATGGAGGAATATGGAATTTGAAAGTCTCTTTGCCATTATCAGTTTCATGAAATTACATTCATATTATTAGTACTATTTTTAAGTAGATCTGTTTCTTAGGTTCATAGTTTTATCATCTATGGTTCATTTTAGGCCTTTGGTTCAACATGCTTGTACTGTTCACTGATGTTCCATTGATAAATCCTACCCTCAACTTATGATTGGAAATGAATCCTAACAAATAAATTTTCTCTCACCAGATGAAAGCAAAGTCACATAAGAAGTCTGAAGCTAAGGCGCATCACTGATTAGTTGGTTTGCTCGTCTCTGGATGCAATAAAGAGCCTTGGATATCATTTAAATCATCTTGCATAGATGGTTCTTGATTTAGAATACTGTGAACATTTTGAATTTGTTTATCTTCATAATCATTAGAATGGCAGGCGTTTTTCCATTTTTGAGAAATAGAAAAAGTAGTAATTCATAATTTTATTATATGGAAGAATCAATCATGTGGCATGTGGTCAAGATCCTTTATTTCTTCTTCTCTATAGAAAATAACTGCATGAGATGAGTAATGCCTAAAATAACAACCTTTCCTGAGCAGTATCAAGTATCAACCTTTCTGTGGGCTTTTCTAGATTTTCATTGTTTTAAGCATCCAGAATCATTTTGGTATTCTTTGGCTTTCTTTTTTTATTATAACGGTGAAATAGTTCTAACTATTGCCTTACAAAAAATTCTAGGGAAAGTGGATACAGAATGACAGATTGTGCTAGTTTATTGCGCATGGATTTGCTAATTGTTGAGTAGCGGGTCCTGGGTCAGGCCTTACGCTTCTGGTCCCAATGTGAAATTATTGCAGCGGAGAGGATGTGGTTGTGGGATGCTCATTGATAAATTTGAAGTAAATAAATAAAATGAGACTATAGTAATCAACCAAGCAAAAATGGACAAGTCATCTGGTGAAGTTGGGGAAATGCTTTTTTCTTAATCGTATGAATTAATTAATTACATCGTGATAATTTTAGCTTCTCTCTGCTGGTCTACTTCATTAGAAAATGGAAGTAGTGTTAGAAAAATGAAGAGGTGGGGCCATTGATCCTGACCATGGCATTAACACGTCAATTACCGAGGCCTTTTTTTTATGGCCCGTGATACAGTATATGGTGGGCCCAAGTCCATACTTGATGCTAACATGTATACGGCCCAATCAAAGAAAACCACCTTTTCCCGGCAATTCTTTCTTCTTTTATTCTATCCGCAATATATAAAAGATAATAATAATGTCTACGCAGCCCAATCCTCAACGTTACTGCTCGGCATTCAGCTCGTATTTTCTTTTTTCTTTTGAAATTCAGCTCATCATTTCTTAATAATGTGCAATATAAGGACTACAAGCTAAAGATAAGCTTGTAGTTGAAATTAATTTTAATATTTGTCCTTAAAATACAAGTGAATTTCTCAAATATGCTTATTTTATTTAAAATCGTTAATCACCAAGCAAAGATTGTGCTTCTTAATCAGAGAACCGGTTTTTTAAGTTTATTACTTTATTTAAATTAAATATTTAGTTCAAAGCATTACTATTTTATATTAGTCCTAATGACACTTAAGGAACCATTGTGAAAGTCCTTTTTAACTTTAGTAGTTGTCACTAACTCCAACCGACAGGCGACAGCCACCTCTACTCTCTCTCTCTCTCTCCACGGAGCTAAAAAATCACACACTGATATTTCACTCAAGAACCAGGGAAAAAAAAACCACCCACTAGCTTCACTTTCTTTGCAAATCTCACTCCCTAGGTGCACTCCAACCCCAAACCCTTCTCTCTCCTCTGCTTTAGACGCAGAAGGAGAAGGAAACCATCAGACCAAGATGGGATCAGTGTCGCTGAAAATAGGAGATGGCACAGCCAGATTCAAGAGAGCGACTGTATGTTCCTCAGCAGTTAACGTTCTTATGATCTTCTCTGTCATCTCTACTAATCTCTTTGCTCTCTATGCCTTCACATCCTCTTCTAAACACCATCAAAATCATCTCTTTCACAATACTCACAAGAATATTTCTCTAATCTCTGAGCAAGTCTCTCTAATCTTAAGAGAGATAGATTCTTCTCAAAAAAAGCTTGCAAAGATGGAAAAGGAGCTTTTAGGCTACGAAACCATCGATATCTCAAGACCCAACATTGCAAACGAGCTCAAACTTTTTCTACAACACCACCAGCTTCCTCTTGGTAAAGATTCAAGAACTGGGATTACTGAAATGGTGGCTTCTGTGGGTCATTCCTGTGACAAATCTGCTGATTTGTTGTCTCAATTCATGACTTACAAGGTTTCTGGGCCTTGTCCTGATGACTGGAGCCTTGGCCAGAAGCTGATTTTGCGTGGATGTGAGCCTTTGCCAAGAAGGAGATGTTTTGCCAAGCCTGTTCCTAAGGTGGGTCTTTCCCCTTTTCCTATTTCTTTGTGGAAACCTGTTAGTGATAAGATATTGACATGGAGTGGTCTTGGTTGCAAGAATCTTGAGTGCTTGAATAAAAAGAAACTGAGTAGAGATTGTGTTGGTTGCTTTGATTTGGCTAATGGGTATGAGAATCAAAAGTTTGTTAAGGTTAGAAGCAAGAATGATTTCTTAATTGATGATGTGTTAGCTTTAGCAAGTGGAGGAATTAGAATAGGATTTGATATTGGTGGTGGGTCTGGCACCTTTGCTGCTAGAATGGCAGAAAATAATGTGACTGTAATCACTAGTACTTTGAACATTGATGCTCCTTTCAGTGAATTCATTGCAGCTAGAGGGCTTTTCCCTTTGTATTTGAGCTTAGATCATAGATTCCCTTTTTATGACAATGTGTTTGATTTGGTTCATGCGTCTAGTGGACTTGATGTTGGGGGCAAACCTGAAAAATTAGAGTTCTTAATGTTTGACATTGATCGGGTAATGAGAGCTGGTGGATTGTTTTGGTTGGATAACTTCTATTGTGCTGATGATGAAAAGAAGAGGACTTTGACAAGATTGATAGAGCGATTTGGTTATAAAAAGCTAAAATGGGTTGTGGGAGAGAAGGTAGAGACAGCTGGGTCAGGCAAATCTGAGATTTATTTATCTGCAGTCTTGCAAAAGCCAGCAAGAGTGTGATTATTGGAGTTTCCACAAGAAACTACAAGAGGTAAAAGGTAAGGATATCACTTACATTTGTAGGTTTTTTTTTCTTTTTTCTGCACAGAATTTGTACCGGTTCGTTGCCCAAATGGTCATGAAATTTGTTTGAAGGTGCAATAAGTACATTACCTATCATTTCTTTTCCTCAAATGCAAACCTGCAGTGGAAACTGGAAGGCCATTGTATCTGTTCTGTAATTTAAAACAGATTTTTATCTTTTATTATGTACTTTAGGGGATTTTATTATCCAAGCTAAAGCTAAAGCAAATTGTTTAGGAATGGAAAAAATTTTACTCTATTCTTGAATCTTCTGAACTGTGAGTTGGTAGCCGGTGTTTTGAGCTTGCATTATTTTTATCTAGCATTCCCTGGAAGATTTTGAATCTAAGTGCCAAACAACTTTAAGTACGCAATGAAGTGACTGAAATTTATTCTGTTGGAGCATTAGCTTCAACATAGAATCAACATAAATCTCGTTATTACAATAATGGCTTTGTTTTATATCATCATACGAGTACTTGTGAAATGTATCTGAAATTAAAAGATGATAAATTAAAAGAAATCATCTGGAGATCTGAACTGAAACTCTCCAAGGTAAATGATCCGAAGCTTAAGTAATTGACCAGTGCTCACAATCCATTGATACTAGTTTTGTCTGCCAAAGGAAACATGACTCGAAATTTACTTGTTACAGAGGATGCATTTGTGTCCGGACACAAATAAATAGGTTACCCAGGAACTATGCACAGCCCTATTCAACAGATTTGGTAAAGACCGGTTCCTTTTCACATCTGATCTTTACCTGTACCGACAGTAACAAATATTCCGTGTCGTTTTTTAAAAAACTACAAATTTTCCTAGTAAACGGACAAATAAAAGAAAATGTTATCCATCTCTTTTGAACTGGTAATCTCCATGTTAATCTTACCTATTTCCATCAAACTTGTTTATTTACTAGTTAGTCCTTAATACTCGGGATTGAAGAAGCACGATTAGCATCGACTATTTCGGGTTCGCGTTAAATACAGAACATAGGGCTTGCATGAAAGGATCTATAATAAAGTATCTCATACATTAGTTTGACATGAACAAATGCCACCACATATTTATATATCTAAACCCATTCTAATTTCTAACAAATGCCCATATAACTCGCCATCCATCACCGTGTTATCATGAAGACGAGAAATTTCAAAGACGATAGCCCCAGCTCCACCATGTAAATATATGTTACTTTTGGCAGCTATTGTTCAGCCTCAAGCATGGCTGCCTTCTGTTACGGAGGTATTCAGGCCGTTGATATTGGCATTGTTAAGGAGCTTCATTCCCTCCTCACTCATCTGCTGAACTTCAGAAGGTGACAGGATCCTTATGCAGCGGACACAACCAACAAACTCCCTGCACAAGCAAATAAAATGGCCTCAGTCTTCAGATATTGGCTCCAACAGTATACAAACAAGCCATACATAACAAAAATGAATGATTAAACTTACTCCCATGGATCATCTCCAATCAATAGAACATCATTCTCATAGTCCACATACACCAGCTTCCAACCTGACTCCCTTGGATTATTAAGCAACCCTTCAAGTCCAAACATGCATTCGATTGCAGAACATAGTTCTTCGTAGTTTCTAAAACTTGAGACATCGATCGACCTCCCCACTGAGCCAGCCTTTTGAACCTGTCAACCACAAACAATTTCATCACCTTGGCTTGGGTCGAGATTACAAATCATGGAGACACAAAAGATGCAAATTCCTTTGATTGCACTAGGAAATAATGTAGACGGCTAAAAACTCTGGAAAATTCCAAAATAATAATAAGAATGACAAACCTTTTGATGACTAGAAATGTGATTCAATTATAAAAACAAATATATAAAAACATTGACCGTTGCATGCAGACCTAGAGTAACCTGAAAACCATCCAGTTAAATAAAAATTTATATGAACAGGCATATAACATTATCCTTATACAAGAATGATATACCTATGATGGAATCTCTAGCCGTAAATACTTAACTATTCAATCACACTAAAGACACAACTCAATTAAAAGCCAAACCAGGAGATGATTTCAGTCGTACCATTTCAATTTTTTCATTCCCCAACCCCATCCACCCAACAATAGCCATTTAGATATGCAACAAGAATGATACCTTTGTGTATGTCCGCACCCGTGGAGCAACTTGCTGCCATGAGTTATTCTGCATATAATTGCCCTTGTCAATATCCACATTGCTTGAAGATGTACCACCTGAGCTGTCTGGAAAGTCTTGCTGTGAGAAAGCTTGGGAATCTGCTAAGCTTGCTGAAGTAATCTGTGACTGAACATCCTGGCTTGAGCTCAAGTTACCGACCAAACAATCTGAAGGGTTTTGGAAATCAGCATCCTTCGACGTGCACAACTCATCCAAAAGAGTATTAGAGACAGAAGGATCAATTACGGCACTTCCCCCATTCCCAACATCAACACTAAGAGAGCCATATATCCCACTTTGATCATTGCTCTCATCTGACAAATCTTTTGCACCACTTGAGTTAAGGCTACAGAGGTCTTGCTGAGCTAAAGGAACGAGTTGGCTTGGTGGGGATAAAAATCTTAAATTGTTTAGCTGTTGATCCCACAAATCCTGATTCATTAAAGGTAAAGAAGGATTAATTGCTTCAGGGAGTATGGATGATTGTTCTTGCAATCCAAACATTGACAGAGGCCCTGATGATCCATATATCCCAGGGAGAGGTATGCAAGAAGACGGATTTGATATCCACTCATCAGTGTCTAAGAAAGGAAGTGATCCATTGAGAACATTAGAATCAGCTTGGGGTATATTAATTTGCTGAGAGTGCAGAGTGGAAGGCTCTAACAGTTGCTGCATTGGCCAGACATTGGTTTGAGCATGCAAGTGAGCCTGGTTCTGATTTTGAAACTCCAGCTGGTTGCTGCAGTTATGCAGATTTGTAGGACTTGAGGAAGTTTTTTCCTCATTGCATTCTCCTGTCGAGGTTACCTGGCTTATCTGATCTGCCGAATGCTCAGGTTCCGATTTCAACTTTTCTACATTAATTCCATCTGGTGTTTGATTTTCAACAGTGCAAGGAGGATGTAAATTCCCAGGTGTGTTTATTTTTGAAGCAGATGGGTTAATTACGTCAGATTGGTTGGCACAGAATTGAGAATAATTTTGGTTTTCTACTGACATACCTACTGACTGGTTAAGCTGATTGATTGGTCCCTGCATGGTCTTCACATCATCAACAGGAGTTGCTTTAGCAGCACAGAGTTCTTGGAGGGCAGACTCACAGATTCCAGGATAGTTAACCTGAGGTTTCATTAGCATCTTGTAAAGTCTCTCAGAATACAGGTTTGGAATTGAAGAATATGGAAAATTCCCATTTCCATGTTCAGGAAGCCAGATGAGGGGTCTTTTTATCAAGTTACTCCATTCAGTTTCTCCTCCTGGCAAAAAAAAAAGAAAAAAAGTTACAATAAATGTTGAACAAATTTTTCCCCTAAAAAACAGAAATAGGATAAACTTACCTAACATCCCTGAATGCAAGGGTCGTTTGAGACCTGAAGTCAGAGAAGGAAAAATGAAGAGGCTTTCAGGAGTCTCAATTTCCCATGAACTGACCCTATTCTGCTTATCGGAACACCCTGACTCATCCCACTCGACCTGTTCTCAAAAAAAAAAAAAAAAAAAAAAAAAAAAACTTACCTGAACATCCCTGAAGCTAGGCAAAGGGGTCGTTTGAAGACCTGAAGTCAGAGAAGGAGAAAAATGAAAGAGCTTCAGGAGTCTCAAATTTCCCATGAACTGAACCCTAATTTCGCTTTAATCGACAAACCCTGACTCATCCAACTCGACCTGTTCTCAAAAAAAAAAAAAAACAAAAAACATAGAAAGATATCCAATTGCCGAAAAAAAAAAAAAAACAAAAAAAAAACAGAAAATATTCAATTGCCGAATAGGCAAAGCAACTGGCAATTCCCTAGTTTCTATTCTGTGAAACGATTGCAACAGAAGATAAGAGCACAAGATTCATTCAGTTCCGCAAGCAGCCCTCTCACCTGAAGATTTCGCCACTTGGAGCCAGGCCACCTCAGCGGATCTAAGTCACTAATACCAACTATTGTGCCCATATATCTGCAGAAAAATTAAAAACTGCTGCTAAGTTCTCTACATGTCAAGCCTACAACTATCCAAGTTTAACCATGCAGATTTAATTAAAGCTTTAGATGGCTGTGGCATTTATCAGGCAAAATATCTCCATGAACATGAAGTACTTTTGTTTTTATTATGGAGTACGAGTAAATATGAATAGTTTGCTGCGGATATGCTATATGTTACTATTACAGCTAAATTGCTATCAAATAAGGATGTAAAAGGGTGCTGTATATTGAAAAATTACCTGCGTTTGCCTGATTCCTCTGTCTCAAACATCATTCCAAACCTCATTCCAACTGAAACTTGAGTTCCATATATAGCTTTTCTATACTTGGTTAAAGGAATGACAAACTCTGAGGGGCATGCCCTAAGAATAGTTGAAAGAATATATGTGATCACCATATTCAGAAACCTACTGTATGGGACAAAAGAAAAGTAGGATATAATCATGAATTAATAAACCTTGGGTTGTAAAAAATGGTGAATGGACTCCGATTGGCAGCAGCATGAGCTGCAGCAGCAAGGACACCAATATGCATGCTATCAGCAGATAGGACAGATGATGGCAATGTTGTTTGTTGACGATTTGCACGCCTTACACCCACCAATAACTGTGATTTCTCATCCCTTGTAATATTAAGGAAAGAATAAGTTGAAACATATAACTATATTAGAGAGACAGAGAGAGAGAGCAATCACATGGCGCAATAAAGCTTCTTATCATTTTGCAAGAAAGACTGAACACAACTTTTCCCTACCAGAGTTATTTTCCAAAAACAATTGCAACAACTAGAACAATAATGAGGTTAGTTATTTCCAAAAACATCATTGGTTAGTAGAAAGCTCAAGGGAAACCTGATGCAATGGTAGGAGGAGGAGGGAGTTCATTACATATGTTTCTGTCCCTCCCATCTACAAATAGCAGACATTAAAGTTATGGCATTATAAGGATGGATTTTACCTGATAAACAGAACAGAATCACCTGCTTTAAGCCTTTTTGAACCAACAAATAAACTCCACCCAGTTGTAAGAAGGTGCCGCTTCGGCTGCCCTGCATAAAAAGTCAAAGAGCACGGTAAAATTCCAGACAAGCAGTCAAACACAGGGGAGGAAATAAAGAAAAGGGAAAAATGTCATAAAAGGTGTACATCATTGGCTCAAAAGCAACTACAATTTGACCAAGAAACATCCCCCCAAGAAAGTTTAAGATTGAATAAAATTCCATGTTTCTCTGAACTGTCTTAATCAATTTAGTAAAGAAATAGGAATACAAATCAAAAGATTTCTCACCGCGATATATATGGCGAAATGTCCAAATATTATCATGTAAGTCTCTAACAACAAGTTCTTGAGTTGGTGGTTGCATTGTGTAATCCTGAGAGTAAATTAAACCATCAACTGAAGAGTACAAAATGGTTTATCTCATACAAAGACTTTTAGATAAGATCAAATCTGACCAATGGAGGAAAGAGCTTTTCTGCAGCTCTTCGAGGCACCGAGAATCCACCATGTGTGCTTGTATCACTCGCTGTCAAGGTTTTGCAAAAAAATTCACTTGGATGCTTGCTTGGTTTTAGTCCAAAATCTGGAATTGGGAAGACATCTTTTTCCTATACAGAAGTAAACGTGTTAGGTATTATATATATATATATATATATATATATATTTGGTCGATCTAGTTGCTCGCGTTAATCGAGCACAATGGACTAGAGCAGGACCCTCGATTTTGCTACGTGTTGCTGACCTATTGCATATCCACTCCTTTCCATTCATCACATCTATCGTGAAGGAAATCAAGCGGCACAACTTGGGACTAGAGCTGGACCCTCGATTTTGCTACGTGTTGCTGACCATATTGCAATATCCACTCCTTTCCAATTCATCACACAATTCTATCGCTGAGGAAATCAAGCGGCACAGACCTTTGGCCACTCATCAAAGGCTACATTATTTTTCTCTTTTTCTTATTACCTCTCTTTAAATTCTATGCTCATTTGATTAAAGGTATCATTCTACTTGAGAGGCCATGGGGTCTTCTCATATTTCAAGATTATAAATAAAAGGACTCACTTCATTAAATATATAATATATATAATACTATATATACTATTAAATTAGGTACTTATTGGGAAGGAAGAGTAAAAGATGGAGCCAAAGCGAAGAACTTAGACTAAAACCTATATACGATGTCACAGCTTACAGAGTTATATATATATATATATATATATAATTGGTCACTTTTGGAAGGAAGAGTAAAGAGGAGCCAAAGCGAAGAACTTAGATAAACTATATAGTAGTCAAGCTTACAGAGTTCACTGGTTGAAGACTCATTTGGGCATAAATTTCATCCGTGTCTTTATCCGCCTAAAATTAGAAGAAAAGCAGGTTCAGATTACAATAACAAGATATAATAGTAGCATGCACAAACACAGAGAAACGGTCAGTATAGAATTGGCATACATGTAGAGTAACATTGTGAACTTGGCACAATAGCTGAGAAGGGAGATTTGGGTAGTTAGGAATTTGTGAAGTTGCCGATCTTTTAGTGGAGACTGCCACCTAGACATGCCAAACGAAAGTTCATTAGTTCTCTGAATTATGGTGAAACAATCTGCCACAAGACAACAAAGAATCTGTCACAAAATCTATCTTCTTATAATCTCTGTTTTCAGAAAGCTCTTGTTACATTATGCCGGTTTCCGATTAGCAGAAATTCCAAATTTATCAGAATGATAAACACTTAATTTTTTACAAAATATAGAACACGTAAAGCTATTTTCCCAACTTCCATGTTCACTAAAACCAATAATGACAGCCAGGCTGTTTCTCATGCTTTTATCTGAAGCAGACAGGTTAAAATACTTCCAGATCATATGTAATGGGTTGGATTATAATATCATTACAGGTTTTGTGAACATCTCAGATAAGTAGATATAGACATGAAACCACATCATGCAATGTAGTTTCTAGTTGCTTCGGGGGAAGCAGCCCCGGGATAAAGCATACTGGCAGTCTTATTGGTGAAATATCAATTTCCAACACCAGCTTGACTCAAATCAACCTTGAAGATAACTATTACAATGACAAACTACCAACACAACCAGAACAAGTAAAAAAGTCTCAACTTATCATGTATTTGTAGAATCAGCTCCAAAGCAAGTCTTTCTGCATCACAAAAGAGTATTCAATTTGTATACTTTTGAATTCTAAACGCTCCATAGCCAAGATTCTAATTATTGGTTCTATCTAACTATTTTTGCACGGACTGTGCCTTGAGCATGAAACAGACATCACAACAGCTGACATCAAAAGATAGGGGATACCAGAGTAGCACTGAAGGAGCAAATAAAGATTTGGCCTTTTGCATAAAAGATCTTTGTTACCATAGAACATAATCAGTGATGGAAAACTTAGAAAAAGGGTAAAATTTAATAAAATTTTATGCCTCCAAATTTATGCTTCAATTTTCACTTCACAAAACCATAATAAGCTGGCAAATTATGAAACTGTACTCTGAAACTGAAAATAAGGATTGAATAGGAAAGGCTAAAGCGTTAATATGATAAATGCAAACCTGTTCACTGTGCCCTTGAGGGAAATAATACACAAGACTTCCAACTTGAGGCAAGGAAACAAGCGGACCAGCACATGCGTACCACAACTCCGAATTTATCGTCTTACGAGTCCCTGAAATCAAGCAGGACAATCTCTAAACGTAAAAACACTCTTCAACCGCCTTTATAGATGGCACGCACATATAGACGAAATAGAAGCCGTTCGTTAATTGCATGGTTAAAAAAACTGAACCTTTACTATATCATCTCAAGCCATGAGCAAGAAAAGCCAAACTTTTTAGAATAACCAAAAAGGAAATGAAGATTTTAGCGAAATGTAACAAAACCTGAATGGTCTTGAATTTCTTTTAACAACTTCATTTCCTCGAGTAAATTGGTTTGTGCTCCATTGACCAAACCTCCTGCTTTGATTTTCTCTTCAACAGAACCCATCATCATCTGCTTCTCTTTCAGTGTTCTCTACTCCAAGCAGAAGAACTCAGTAGAAAACCCCATCTTCACATGTATAACCCCAAAAACCCTCCGCCAATCCGAAATCTATTCAAAGAAATAAAAGGGCAAAGGATAATTGATCAAGCCATGTCATGAGAGGGAATCCCAGGGTCACCAAAAAGACCAATCCAACTGTACACAAAAGAGAAGCCTTCCCCCTTCCGGGAGTCCAAAATCAAGGAACAAAACCTGCAAAAAGGCAACCATAGAGATCTTTTAAGGTGGGCCTTTGACACAACAAGAACCAAAAACCATCATTTTGCATCAAAGCACGCGGACCGAAGCATGGGAGTGGGTCTCACCTCTCTCTTTCTGTATATGTCCGAGTTAATGGTTATTATCAAGTGCTTGTTTTTATCTCCCTAAAGAAACCGACCTTTCAATGAACCCCCTCCATGTATCATCATCACTACTGCGATGATCTCTTTCCTTCTACTCTTTCGATCACCCAGAAAAAAGAAAAAAGAAAAAAAAAAAAGGAGCTTCCTTTATCTGAAACTCCACTTAAAAAATTTTCCTCCCTCTGTCCATCTCAATAAACGTGTATTTGCTAGAAAGTAGAAAAAGTGTGTAAGCTCTTATCCTGCGCACACTCTTTCTGTATATAGCGATTTCGTTGCAGCTTTAAACTGTTGAAATAAGATTAAAAAGCAAAATAAACATAATAAAGAAATGTTAAAACAAGCAGAGCTTAGACTATTAGAACACGAAAACTGTACAATACAGAGATAAAGACATGTGATCGAAGAGAAAAGAGGGAGTGTGTCCTTGAGAGAGAGAGAGAGAGAGATTATGTTTTTTTAAAAAAGGAGGGAGTGGGTGAATAGGAAAGAAAAGAATGTCACGGTGGCGCATTTTAGCACGTGGATTACGAGGATTTGCAGGAGAATTCTCTCTCTCTCTCTATCTAGCCCTCGCTTTTTCCCATTTGGCTTTTTTTGCTTTGCTTTCTCGATCTTGTGCTTTTTGCTTTAGCTAGCTTCGATTTTAGCTGCTTTCTTTCTCTGCATTACGGCAATTTTCGTTTTGTTTTCTATTTTTATTTAATTAATTAAATGTGGAAATTAAAAAGGAGAGATCGATAAAAGGTGCTTCTTTGCTTTTGCGTCTGATATAATTTGACCGTTTGTCACGCGTGCTGTTCACGACAAATCGGTGGGAGGAGGCGCACGCTAACGTAGAACGACACATGTCTATCCACCGTATTATCGCTCACGGCGCCGTTTTTGTTTTCACATTTACTAACTTTCTAGCTTATTATATATATATTTTTTAATTTATTGAAGTCTGGATAAGCCGAAATAGCATAAATAGCAAAATGGACTGCTCAATAATATGAAGTTTGAAAGAAAAACGAAAGCGTGTGAAATGGCCAAGGCCTATAAGATTGTGGAGTTCAAATAGAGCAAAAAGGTTGAAGGTAGTAGAAGAAAAGAAAATGAGAAATAAGGATAGGATTTTTCTAAAATAGAAGGGTCATGCAGTGTACATGATAGTAAGACATTGCATGGGCAAAAGAGTCACGCACGCAATCGCTTCTTCTTTTTTTTTTTTTTTTTTTTTTTTTTTTTAAAGAAAATGAGGAAATAAAGGAATATATGAGAATTTTTCTTAAAAATAGCAAGGGTCATGCGTGTAACATGACAAGTTAAGACATCTGAAATGGGCAAAAAGAGTCACGCACGCAATCGCTTCTTCTTTTTTTTTTTTTTTTTTTTTTTTGTTTTTTTTTTTTTTTTTTTTTTTTTTTGTTTTGTGGGCCGAGCTACTGTTGTTGCTCGCAGGGCATATCCCGAGAGAATAAGGCGCAGCGCCTTTTGACGAGTGATTGAACTTGAGAGAGAGAGAGAGAGAGAGAGAGAGAGAGACAATTGAATTGTCGTTTAGTGATATGCTACGACGTGAAGATCATCTTCTTCCAGACTTGCTATGTATCGTCTGGTCCGATTTACAATCCGGTCTGTCAAGGGCCCCAAAACAAAACCTCTTACATCTGGAGAAACGGATTCCTTTCATTTTTAATAAAATTAGTTAAAATTTATTATTCCGTCTTCTTTTTCTAAAATATAGTATTATTTTATTTCTAATATTTATTAAGACACTTTGAGGATTTCAATAATTGAGAGAATAATTAAACTCAAATTTGAGAAATAAATCAAATTTAAAGCGCATAAGCTTGTCTAAATGTTATAAAATCTTATCTCCATTTTACTCTTTGATTTATTAGGAAATAAATAAAAAAAAATCAATATTATGAGCTACATAATTATTGCTCACTGAATTAATAAAACTCTCGTACTTTAGATTAAAAATCTTACACTCGCGGTACTGATAAAAAAACTAACCACTTTAAAAAAAAAAAAAAAAGCAATTACGATAAACACTCTTTAAAAAAAAAAAAACAAAAACAAAATTATAGAATCCAAGATTTTTATAATTTACTATTCTCCAAATAATTAATATAAATATAATAATAGAATATGAAAAACACAAAATAATCATTCAAAAAACAGGAAACTAACCAGAAATCTCGGATTTAAAAAAAAAAAAAAAAGGATCGGAGTGGCTTCGTGATGCCAATCGATGAAACTTTTTTACGATGTGTGGGATACGGAAACTTTGATCAACGGTGAAGAGAATTGACGCTGAAATCGAAGTGGCAACGCGGAAGTATAAAATTTGCAAAAAAAAAAAAAAAAAGGACTCGGAGTGGCTCGTGATGCAATGAGAACTACGTGTGTGGATACGGAATATGATCAACGGTGGAGAATTGACGCTGAAATCGAGTGGCACGCGGAGTATAAAATTTGCGGACTCTCCATTCTCCAGTCGCTAGCACTCTGTTCCATAGCTTTGGGACTTAAACTCGCCGTATTATCAGTTTCGAGCTTATAATTCCTAGATAAACATTGCTAATACTTATAACCAAACACTACTCATATTGTTCCACGTGTCATTCACGGGGGATTTTTCGTGAAAATTTCAGCTAATGTGCCCCGTTCAATTGCTTTTTCTAAAAAAAACTTTTCGATGTTTGACTTGTAAAAATTATATTTCAAACGTAACCTAATGAAAGCAGCATTAAGCAATCAAATCAAAGATTTTAAAAATAAAAACAAATCCAAGGGGTTGATTGTGGTCCTGGTCCTACCCAATGACATCACCGGTGGAAAGATAAAAGAAAATCAAAAAGACTTTTTACCATTATCAAAGGTGGAGGTGCAGGAGCAGGAGATTGTTCAATGGAAATTTGACTGGGACCCACAAAATTGTAGAGTGGGATCCACCAACAACAACTCCTATCGTCAATTGTATAAGCATAGCTACGTTACAATTACTACATAGATATAATTATGTATAGCTGAGACTAAAAATAGCACAAATTTCTTACATTGTTCTCTAAGTAAAGAAATTAAATTTTTTACTACATAGCATAGCATAAAAATAAATTAAAATTTAAAAACTTTAAGGAGGGTGGTCCCTGTATTTTATAGACTTTATCATATTTTTACGCAATATGAATTATTTTATTTCTTAAAATTTAAATTTTTTATTATTTATTAGGTTGTAATTACTATTTTATTAGATTCAACTATTGTAGCTGTTCGGAATCCACAAATCATTCCGACTGACGTATAGAATTTCTTTTTAATAAGTCTGAAAAAATTGTGTTCAAAATTTAATCAGGATAAAGTTAGAAATAACTATTTCCCTCTATATTATAGTTCTAGAATATTATATGAAGCAAATGAGACTGGAACAATAATGTAAAAAAAAAAAAAAAAAAAAGTTGAGCAGGGACCATTGCATTATTTGTGAAGCCATTCATATTGTTTAATTTTGCTGCTCATAATTAAATTTGGACAACGCGCAATGATATGACCTTTTAAATAAAGAGACAAGCAATTGTTTGTTGCTCATAATTACTTGGTCACTTAATAAAGAACAAAAATTATACTAAATGATAAATTATTTGAGTGATAAGAGAGTGGCAATTTTATCATAATTTAGGCAGCTAAAATATTTATGTTTTATAAATTAATTGCGCAGGACACATATTCAAAACTCAATAAGAGAAATTATTAATATAACTTTAAACATTTTTATTCTACCTCCATCCTCCACGTTAAACTATCCCATACAACTAATAGAGTCAGTATTGAATTTTCAAATTTTCCTCGAAAAATTGAGCATGTCACAAGTTATATTGATAATTTCATTTATTGAATTTGTGTTAGACACAACTCTTATAAATAATAATAATAATAAGAAATTTCACAAATATTTGACAACAAAATAAATAAAAAAAAGTTGGATTTAGGCGGGACAAAAACACAAAAGATTAACTTTTTTTTACCTAAATGGTGGGTGAATGATTTAAGCTAATTAAGCTAGGTTTAAATAAGATGGGACCCTCTAGTAATGAAAGAAAGGTGGTAAAAACGATTGATAATTAATGAGCATCCAAATCCAATAAGGTGAGAGTAAATAAGGTGCATAAACTTTAGACAACAAAAAAATGATTGAGAAGATTATAGGGAGGGTTAAAAACAAAACCACCAACCAAAAAGACTTTCACCTTAGATCTTATGAACATGCGTATAATAATAATGAGAGTACGTACAAAAAGAAAATGCATACAGTAGAAAAAAGAGTACAAGTGGGTGGGGTCCAGAGGGGGGCGTGGTATGAGGGGAACATGGAAGCAGTATCAGTTGTAGGGATGTAAGGAGACATTTGCTTCAGAATCTTCCAGATGAGAGATGAGAGTGAAGTCCATTTTGTCTTACTACTACCACAAACCCAAAGCACCAATCCCCCCTTCCTTTATTTTATTTATTGTCCATTTCTCACTTTATTATATTCTCTGTGGGCTTATTTTGTGAGGGCCAATGATCTGAATAAAGGTCAGGCCCTTTTCTTTCGCATGTTGCTTCGGTCTACCGACTGAGATTTGAGGCTCTCTGCTTTGCTATCTTTTGATTTTTTTTTTTTTTCTTTTTTTTTTCAATAAGAGGGAATCAGTTAAATTACAATAACAGACAAATATTAATCGGGCCTCTAACTTAATTTATTTGGGCTTAAAATTACAAGCTTCAAGGCCCATAACAATAGTTGATCACGCGAAACTCTGGTTACTGGTTAACAAATTCAATTGAAAAAAAAAAAAAAAGAAAAGTAAAGAAAACCCTACAACCACCGTTGTTTACTTTGCCGCTGTTGTAAGAACCCTAATTCCAGATTGCGAAAGTGCAAAACTTTGTCCGATTCGATTGTAGATGGAGGGATTGAGCGTGTCATGTACTAATTTGCTAGTTTATGTTCATCCTTCCCAGTGCAAGAATGTTTCTCGAGCAATACTCAGTGAGCTCAGCTCCTTGCTTTTCAAGTTCGTCCTTTGCTTCTTATTCTCTTTGTTTCTCTCTCTTCAAGTGTCTTTAGTTGCCTTTCAATTGTGCCTATTTTGCACAGTTCATGCCTAGAAATGCTGTCAAAAGATTGAAAATTGGAAACACAATCATATTGATTATAAGAATAAACTACTATTATTAGTTCTATTTTTTGAGTTTGACCTGCTATGAAATTTGGAAACACATTTCTTAGTTCGAAAGATTGAAAATTGGAAACACAATCATATTGATTATAAGAATAAACTACTATTATTAGTTCTATTTTTTGAGTTTGACCTGCTATGAAAAAAAGTGTGTAGATGTTGTCCACATAACAGAGTAAAATCTCTATCTGCTATAGCTTTTACACCGTTGCACTCTCTTTCATGTCACCTCTCTATCTATTGTTTGAATTATTTTGTGACACTGTTGTTTGGTTTTGCTTATTTTGGATTTCCTTACAGGTTCAATGAAACTTTTGAAATATAATAATCATATAAAATAAAATAAAAATAAAAATTACAGAAATGTATCACAAAGTAAGAAGTAAACTCTGTAATTATAAAAAATTTAAAAATTAAAGAAATAGCAAAGCAATAAATTACTTACCTCGATGAACTTGGAATTACAAGGAGAAAAAGAATCCTGCAAAAAAAAGAAGAAGAAAAGAATTGATTTGAATTCTAAACCATTAGAAAATTTTGAAATTGAATCTTGATAATATAATATCAACAATAAATTAAACTATAGTAATCATAATAGATAAGATGTCAATATTTATATGAAGAGAAATCCTATTAACACCCATGAATACATTTTCAAGCAGATTTATTCATTCTGGAACTAATATTTCATCTAATTTTAGAGTCATTATAGAAGCCATTTGATTCAAAAACTTGAAAATAAAAAATATCAGCGCTATCTTTTTCCAAATAAATTGTTATTTGACCATCTTTTTTTCTAAAGAATATGAATGTATTTTATAACATGACACAGGAATTTATTCCTTGTCAACAAGAATAAATTCCCATTCTCAAAAAAAAAAAAAAAAAAAAAAAAAAAAAAAAAAAAAAAAAAAAAAAAAAAAAAAAAAAAAGAAAAAATCATCCACCGGGCCAAACCTTATTAAAGCCACTTAAAAGAGGACTTTATTAGGATTATAAAAAAACTTTTTAAAATTTTTTTTCGTATTATGAAATATCTTCGTGAAAATACCTGGGTTATCGCCAAAACCCCCGCTTATAAATATTTAATGCTCTGCGCGCAAGCACAGAAGAAAGCCCTCATCATTGCTCCTCCTAGCGTTACTATCGTGCATCTCTCTACCTTACATTTCTCTTTTGTCGAGTTCGTTTCAGGTGAGAACTCAGAATCAAGTTTGGTCTGCCAGGATATTGCTTAACGGTAACTATTGCTATTCTGTTTCTAATTTTGTTCCGATATTTCTTTTTGGTTATTGATTATTGATTTTGATTTTTTGATTTTGATTTTGATTCATCTTAGGGTTTGTAAGCTAGATTGGAATTGATTCGATTAGGTCTCGATTTGGTTTCTCTTATTTTTCAAAGGCTTTATTTGATGTTTTGATTCATCAACTTTTAGCGTTAAGATTTATGCTCCAACGTTTGTTTTTATTTTCTGTACATGGAGATAACCCTCGCTTATAAATATTTATGCTCTGCGCAGGGCACAGAAAACCCTCTCTTGCTCTCTAGCGTACTTGCTGCTCTCTCTACTTCTTCTCTTTGTGGTTCGTTCCGGGAGAAACTCAGAATCAAGTTGGTCTACCAGGATTTGCTTACCGGTAACTTTGCTCATTCTGTTTCTAATTTTGTCCGATATTTCTTTTGGTTTTGATTTTGATTTTGATTCTTTTGATTTTGATTTTGATTCATCTTAGGGTTTGTAAGCTAGATTGGAATTGATTCGATTAGATCTCGATTTGGTTTCTCTTATTTTTCAAAGGCTTTATTTGATGTTTTGATTCATCAACTTTTAGCGTTAAGATTTATGCTCCAACGTTTGTTTTTATTTTCTGTACATGGAGATCTGATACTTTCTGCATTGATTTAGTTGAACCAACTGTAATTAAATTTATATCTATGATTAACTGATATTTAGTTTCTCCATGAATTTTTCATTTTTAACCTTTATTTCTTTTTTTTTTGTATTATTTTAGTTTTTATAAAACAAAAACTTTGAAAGTTTCATCAACATAATATTCACTTGCTTTTTGCTTGTTCAGGTTTTCCTTGCATGTTCTGGTGATTCCTTTTCATGTTTGATATTTGATTGCAAGCACAATTTTCTCTCTTATCCACCTCACGTTTTATATTAATCAAAACCTATAATGAAAGAACATACTGAGCCATATCTACCCATAAAGTTTTTATCTTTGGTCCCAGGATTAATCGGATTGCTTTTTGCTTGTTCAGGTTTTCCTTGCATGTTCTGGTGATTCCTTTTCATGTTTGATATTTGATTGCAAGCACAATTTTCTCTCTTATCCACCTCACGTTTTATATTAATCAAAACCTATAATGAAAGAACATACTGAGCCATATCTACCCATAAAGTTTTTATCTTTGGTCCCAGGATTAATAGGTTACTTTAAGGACAGATGTAGTTATGTACTTTAGTTATAAAATGTTGACTTCATTAACGTTTTTAATGAATTTTAGGTGATGAGCTTCTCTCGGATTTTCAATGAGAACTACGTGTGTGGATGCGGAATATGATCTACGGTGGAGAATTGATGCTGAAATCGAGTGGCACGCAGAGTATAAAATTTGTGGACTCTCCATTCTCTAGTCGCTAGCACTCTGTTCCATAGCTTTGGGACTTAAACTCGCCGTATTATCAGTTTCGCAGCTTATAATTCCTAGATAAACATTGCTAATACTTAGATGGAGGGATTGAGCGTGTCAGGTACCAATTTGGTAGTTTATGTTCATCCTTCCCAGAGCAAGAATGTTTCTCGAGCAATACTCAGTGAGCTCAGCTCCTTGCTTTTCAAGTTCGTTCCTTTGCTTCTTATTCTCTTTGTTTCTCTCTCTTTAAGTGTCTTTAGTTGCCTTTCAATTGTGCCTATTTTGCACAGTTCATGCCTAGAAATGCTGTCAAAAGATTGAAAATTGGAAACACAATCATATTGATTATAAGAATAAACTACTATTATCAGTTCTATTTTTTGAGTTTGACCTGCTATGAAAAAAAGTGTGTAGATGTTGTCCACATAACAGAGTAAAATCTCTATCTGCTATAGCTTTTACACCGTTGCACTCTCTTTCATGTCACCTCTCTATCTATTGTTTGAATTATTTTGTGACACTGTTGTTTGGTTTTGCTTATTTTCGATTTCCTTACAGGTTCAATGAAACTTTTGAAGGTGTTGTATTAGCTTATGATTGGAGCGCTCCAGATAAACATGCAAGAATTCTCTCTGGAGTTCACCCCTACTTTGGTGTGAGACTAAAAGCAAATCTATTGCTTTTCTCTCCAAAGCCAGATATGCTTTTAGGTACTTTAGCTACGCTTCTTGGGATTCTGCAACTTATCAATAGTTTCCATTACAGGTTGAATTCAATAATTAAATCATTGAAATCGCAACAAAAAAAACTAAGTCATATGATTGTAACCATAAATATGCAGCGAAAAGCTTATTGGGAAGCAATACAACATATTCCTTACAAATTTGTGAATGATATTAGTTCTTGTGATAGAGACATTGAATTATACCATATATATAACAGCATTTTGTTTGGTGTTGCTGCATATATCTTGCTCTTAATAATTGTTTTCTGTCACGTCCAGAGGGAAAGGTTGTGAAACTTACACTAGAATACATTCATTGTATTGTTCTTGGGTTTTCTTCTGGAGTTATAACAGATGAAGACATTCGTGATGAATTTAGATATAAACGTGTAGGTACCTTTACATGCTTATGCTCTGAATGTCTTCTTTTGTGTTTGGGAATTATTATTTTAAATTTATTTCCTAATATGATTTCTATTATTTGTTATAGAAACATGGTGAAGGCTTATATGTTAGCAAAGTTCAGAAACGACATGTGATAAAGGTTGGAACTGTGATACGCTTTGTTGTCAAGAGGTGACTTGTTATTGTGTTTGCTGTTATTGTGCACTTCAAAATGTATAATTATATGATTTGTATGACTTATTAGATAAATTTGTCCTTTAGAATTGAAAATGATATAATCTCTCTATCTGGTGTCCGACTGTTCATACCTATGCATACATCTTTTTTTGTATTGGACTTCTAAAGGAGTATGAAGCTGAAACCTGATGGTCATGGTCATGCTGTGGAAAGCAGAGTCTGAATTATACACAGCCCATGAAATCTCCTGATGTCAATATCTTATTAGTTCCTCTATTGATTGCTGTTATATCTCATTAACTTTGGGTTTGGGAGTGCTAAAGCATCTCAAACTGTTTGACCAGAAGTGAGCTCCGGTTTGCATTGGCTTAAATGATGAAGTCAACATAGCTTGATTATGACCTTGAATAATTTTATTATATTGACATATCATTAATCTTTGCAGTTTTGATGTGGAAATACTGCATGTTTCTGGATCGTTGATTCCAACTCACACTGGAAGTATTAGTTGGTTGGATGGGGATGTTAAAAATGCTATAACTGACAGGTTTGGCAACTAAACTGCTTCCTTAAAACCTGAACTGAGTTGTTTATATATTCTCGGATTTTAAGCTTTTGAGATGTTAACTCGGTATTTAACTTTGTAGTAATAAAAAGAAGAGGACACAACCTGATGGAGAAATTGAAGTGCAAGACCGTGGTAATGCAAGCAGGGACAAGTATTCCTTGAACAATGACCATGAAACTAAAAAGTCAAAGAAGCATAGAAATGCATAACATCATTGAAGGCTGTTGCTGATTCCTGACTCTTTTCTATACTCATTGTTCCTGTTAATTTCAACTCTTTTGTTTTATACCAGTTATATACATTATATAACTTGTAATTTGCTGGTCTACTTTGAGCATGAAATTCTGATGTCAACCCTATCAAATTCACAATAACTATCCTGCTTTTACTATGTATGTACAGGCAGTTAAGCTTATTCAATGTAAGCATGCTCAGTGTAACCCTGTGGAATAGTTACAGCTTAATGCGTTTTGTCTTAAGATTGCAACTCAATTTTCTCTCAAACCGCATATGGCCCATTGGGCCCTCCATTTCAAACTTATGCAAAATAATTAGACCATTTTGGAGGTTGATTTGTTGCATACGTTATTTACAGATTTTAGCAAATATATTATAGTTTAAACGGGCTGAACTGAGAACCAGTCAAAGTACCCTAACTGTTGCATTATATTATATTGGAAAAATGCATAAGGTTACTCTTGAATTTATACTTTTTGGCCATGCTAAATTTTATATTACCTGCTAAAAGTGTAGATATTTATACATAATATCTAAATCAAATTACTTCCAGGCATGTTGTTGAAAGATGGTAGGTAATTCGAGTTGGTTTGGGTCGAAATAACAAGGATGAATAATATGGCGTTCGGCCTAACTTGGTGCTGAAATCTGAATTTCAATGATCAACAAAAATTTGGACGGCACTGAAAAGTAAAGCTTAATGGGATTTTCCATTATCTTGGGTTGTAAAAACTACAGCTAGATTGGACACATGTCAAGGAGCAAGGATATCTGAACCAGAGATTTTGGCAATCAATGTAGGGTTTGGTTTGTCAATCATTTTTATTGGAATTTGGATGTGTGTCCAAAAAAAGTACATTCCATTTGCACCCATGTACTTATGATTAGTTTTTGCAGCTCCCCTATCCACTGTATAGAACAACAACTACAAAGAAACAGATCTATACAGGTGGAACCACTATCATTATAAGGTATGGGGTTTCTTTCATTGAACGTCCCATATTCGTTTTTGGGTCCTTCTTGTAAGATTTATTTTTCTAAAACATGATATGCATATTAGATATGAGAAAGAGGGTATATACTAAATGGAGAAGATGGGTTTTTTTCAGGTTGGTGAATGATTCTCAGTTGCGTCCAACTCCCATGTGAGAGTTTCCCTTTTTTATTCACTACAAAACAGCCACTATTATGACAAATTTTCCCGTATAATCCGGTTTAGTAACATGCTCATACCCTCTTACCAACACTCTAATTATATTTATAATGCCCTCTTTCTTTTTTTTTGTTTCTTCTTTGTAGGAATTAATGTTATGTTAGTAATATGTTACTCCTCTTAATTAATTATAAATGTGACCATTAGAGGACAATTGTGTGAAAAGGACATTGTGTGTATATATAAGTTTAGTTAGAATCTTTGTTTGGTTTACATCTCCTTATTTTGACCCACACCCTTTTCCAATTTGCATGTTTTAATTAACTACAATTGTTTTTACAATTGTTTTAATTAACTACAATTGTTTGCAATGATTTTTTTATGGTTTTGAATAATTCATAAACTTTTATATGTATTGTTAATTAATTACATAAACCTTTTGTTTTTTATCCATAATATTATGCTAAATAAAATCTTAGGGTGCAAACTTTGAAGAAAAAAAATACTTATACAGATAGACAATTACGAATCTTAAAATAAAATTAGTCTCGTACTCAAAAAAGGTGTTACCTATTAATAAATCCAATCATAAGTTTCAATTTGTAAAGAACAATACAGATTAGATGGACCAGATTAATCGAGGTTTCGAAAATTTCGATATTTTTCAAGTCCAAGCCCAACCTATAAATAGTAGATTTCATCTTATGCTGTCTATAAAGAGGGAAATTAGAAACCTTGGGCTTAATCATATATATCCTTAATTTTCAACAACAAAAGCAATTAATTGACTTTTACAAGAAAATTAATCAATCAATTGTTGTATTAAGTAGAAAGATTGTAATAAAAGAATATATGATATAATGGGATATAGAGTTGGTGTTATGGGTCCATATATTGGATTTTTGATAATTAAGTTCAAACTTAAAATAGCAATTTATGTTTAAATATTAACAATCAACATCTTATTGCACGCGATGTTGATATATTCTTGACAATATGTTTTTCTTTACAAAATTGTTGACAATATCATCAAGAAATTAAGCAACGTCTGTCAATCATTATCAATCACTCGATGTAATTAAAAAAAAAAAAACAAAACTGTCAAGGAATAATTAGCAGTTAAGAGTAATTAGTTTGACTTCAATATCCCAACCACCAAAGCTAGCTAGCTAGCTTGTCGATTACTGTAGACTAGCATGCCATCTCCCATTACAGAAAGAGGTTTGTTTATATCTATCATTGTGTTTCCTAATCACGTCAATGGATCATTAATCTCTCATCACTAGTGCTAATTAATTAATTTCATTCCTCTCATCATTGAGAGAGAGAGAAAGATAGAATTTTGTTTAAGGAAAGTTAAATTAAGATCAATTAATTTTCATATATATAGATACTCGGACAGCTAGCAGAATATGTGTTTTAAAATGCAACTTTTTTGCCATTTCCTTCTTCTGAATGCGTTTACCTGGTCATCCTCAACAAAAATTTCGACATAGTTTTCTCTAAAGTGCAGCCTAATGCTTGAAGATTTCAAAATTCTATCAAGAAATCTTAATTTTAAATTTTAGGTACAAACGGAAATTTATAAGAAAAAAAAAAAAAAAAAAAAAGTCCAAGCCTCAACCCTATAAATAGTAGATTTCCATTCTTTATTGCTGTCTATATTACATGAGGGAAATTAGAAAAACCTTGGGCTTAATCATACATATCCCTTAACATTTCAACAACAAAAATGCAATTAATTGACTTTTCAAGAAAATTAAACTCAATCCCATATTGTTGTATTATAGAGAAACGATTGTTAATAAAAGAATATATGATATAATGGGTATAGAGTTGGGTGTTATTGGGTCCATAAAATTTCGGCACTTTCTTCTCGCATCAACCTTCAAGCTTCAACCACTCTCAAACAATCACGCAATCTCTCCACTGTCTCACATATCTAACAACCTATCCAAACCATCATTTATTTTGCTTATTAAAAACAAAAAAACACGACCAGATAGTTGATTATATTCCTCTTCTCCCCTCCTCCGCCACAAAAAAAAAAAATAGAAGGGGTGTGGTTAATCTATTTATTAAAAAAATATGCATATATAGACAAAATATACAATAAACAAGAAAAAATTACAGCACAAACAACACATGCTGACATACAAATACAAATTAATCAATAAACACAGAAAATCAGAGAACTGTAATAATTAAAAAAAAAAACAAACTGAATAAAAGGAATATAATTAAGCAGAAATTAGAGGTAAATTAGATTTATGACCACTTCACAATATCAAACCACCCCAAGAACACAACCAAAAAGCAAGGACTAGCTAAGAGCTATATAGATATCGGGATTGGCTGGTAGGACGTAGGCGAGTGCGCGGTGCGTCCGCAGGTGTGACGAGAGGGAGGAGGGAGGGTGTTTTGTTTAATTATATCTATACATAACATAAAAAAGTAGAAATTATACCTAAATACACAAGTCAAAATGGAAATCAACTTAAATACTCACTCAATACAACAATAGTTGCTTAATTTAATTTATATTTCATTCCTCTCAATATCATATGAGAGAGACGAAAGAAAATAGAATAGTTTTTGTTTACAGGAAAGGGTTGAAGTGTAAGACTCAAATAAATTTATCATATATATAGAATACTCACGGAGGACAGCTCAGACGAGGACGAATAAATAAGGTTATATAAAAAATGCAAACTATATAATTTTAACCATTTCTCTTTTCTTCTAATTATTGCTGTTTACCTGGTCATTTCCTCTATCTAAAAAACAAATTTTTACACGACAATAAAAGTAATATCAATCATACAGTACGCAAAGCCTAAATGTATGAAAGACGGTATCAACAATTCACTAAATCAAGAAACATACTTAAAATTTAAATTTTTAGGTACAAACGGAAATTTTTATAAGATAAAAACAAAAAAAAAAAAAAAAAAAAAAAAAAAGAACTCAAATGTATACTGTGTCAAATTCTCTCAGTTAATTTAAATATCGAAGTGATGCAGGCTAATCCTACTCCAAATTCTCTCAGTCCTGACCATCGGATTTTGTAAAAAGAAATGTTCGATTCAATAAAAATTGAATACGTGAAACTCAATGAATAGAGCATATAGGGTTTATTTTTGTTTACTTTTATGAAACAATTAAAGAAGATAAAAGATATGGACGTGAATGAGAAAGTATGGAGGCATGGCTCTTGGCTAGCTGTTCTGGGCTCTCCAATGGCAGTACGGATTTCTTGGGAATGACCAATAAAAAGAAGTAATATTTCGTTCGTTATATATATATATATATATATATATTTTATATACTATTATATATATATACTAATATTTAGTTAATAAAAAGCTATGAGAGTTATAGCTTGTACTGCCCTTAATCCTTTAAGTAAACAACAAAACCACCATGTGGAAGACATCTTCAAACTTTTATATCCAATGTTATACCCACCATAATATACACATTTTTTAAAGGACCCCCCATCATAATCAACTACGAGTTTCCATACAATACTCACTCACAAAACAGCTGGTACTCTCACCTGACAACTGTTGGCACTGTGGGCAGGCTTTTGTTTGTTTCTATGAAACTGAAAAGAATTTCTGCGTCCAATTTTTTTGTATAACAAAGTGAAGGAGAAGAAGATTTGTTCTACTTTATACATTAGGATTTAAAACATAAATACACTATTAAAGTAGTGACGTTTTTCTTACGTAAGAATTGGATTCTTTTATATATATATATATATATATATTAGTAAAAGCTATGAGAGTTATAGCTTGTTACTGCCTTATCCTTTAAGTAACAAAAACCCCATGTGAAGATCTTCAACTTTTCCATGTTTTATATTACCTCTCTGGTTCTCTCTCTCAAACACTGTATTAGAAACTGTGGCCTGTGGGCAGGCTTTGTTTGTTCTAGAACTGAAAGATTCTGCGTCCAATATTTTTGTAACAAAGTGAAGGAGAAGAAGATTGTTCTATTAATTAATTAGGTTTAAACATAAATACCTAATTAAGTAGTGAGTTTTCTTACGTAAGATTGGATTCTTTTGTTGGACAGTTATGGTTTTGTTTCGGTATAT